TATGAAAATGCATTTGAATGAGATTAGTGTAGAGTTTCTTTCTCTTTTACTTTAAGAAGTCCCTGAAGTGCTTTAAAGAGACTGTTTCTTTAATTATCTGTGGCTTCACATGCCTGATTTCCATCGGTACCCTTTAGCACTATATCGGATTAGTACTGAGGAAGAAATCGTCGTTTTACTGTCTTGTAAAATATGTAATTTGTCATAATTTCCTTCCTTGGTTCTGCTGCATAAATTCGTAAGTCACTTTACCAAATCTTATCAATTTTTACCTAGAAAAACAATGAAATCTCTAAAGGAAAGGTCTAAAGGGACCCTATTTAATTCCTATGTTCTTGAATGGAGTGTTACATGAAATCAAGTTGCCGGCCCCGCTAAATGCATGATGTGTTTTATTTTCAGAAAAAGAATTTCTATTTCTAAAAGAAATAGTATTGCTTTTAAATCAATTAAGCAGCAACCTCAACAGTGGTTTGTATTCAAATATTTTCATAAGCGTGTCTTAAAAGTTTCTTTTAAATGCTTAAATACGCTTTATTTAAACATATATATGTAAGTTTGTTCGGGTACAATTTAATTAACTATTACCAAAATTTTTGGCGTTAAATTTTAAATTCCAGGTAATTACAAACTTGATTTTTTAAAACTATATTTTTGTTTACAATCTTTCGTAATAGTGCTTTTTGTACATAATGTTTTGTACATAATGTTTTTCATGTTCCAGGTTCTCTTCAAGTTTATCTAAACTTTCGTGTTTTCTTTGTTTACAGTGTAAGGTATCATACAAAGAAAGTTCTTCTTTTCTTTATCTTGGAATAGTAGAAACTAGTAGATATATTATATACAGAGTGTCCTAATAAACATGGAAATTGAGAGATGACTGGAGAGTCGTCTTTGTTTTCGGATATTTATTTCACAGCAAAGAAAGTAAAATGAAAACAAGGCTGTACGTCTGACGAGCTTTTAAAAAAGGGGTCTACAGCTTTCTAGTATCTTAAAAATTGACGAACATATTAGATATTAAGACAATTTTGATGCGTTTAATAAATTGAAATTTGTTCTAATTTTGCAATATCTCCGTCAATTTTGAAGTCACAAAAATGGCAGACCACATTTTGAAAGTCTCAAGACCAGGCGTTTTTAATATTAGATGTTTAAGCAGGAATAATGCAATTATTGTGTTAACGAATAAATGCAGTATGGTTTGGAGACGATATAAAAGTCGTCACTGAATTCCCATGTTTATTGAAACACCCTGTATTATATAGGAATGGGGTAAACCGTTGATATTTCAAACTTAGCCTTTTATATCTAACAGAATTCATAGTTAGAAGTATATTGAAGGTCTACGACATCGCGTTGTAACGATATAGTATGCGTATTGCATCCTGTATAATTCATAGTTAGAAGTATATTGATGGTCTACGACATCGGGTTGTAACGATATAGTATGCGTATTGCATCCTGTATAATTCATAGTTAGAAGTATACTGAAGGTCTACGACATCGGGTTGTAACGATATAGTATGCGTATTGCATCCTGTATATAATTCAAGTGAGGCTTCCTCAATCTAGTTGACCAATGAAGTTTAGTTCGTAGGCAACACCAAACATACAGTACGCGTATTGCATAAAAATGACTATTGTTTATGCTGTGATCAGTAGTACAAAGTAGAGATACAGTACATAAATAGAAATATTGCATAACATTGGGAAACTTTTTTTAAGTTGTCAAATCCATTATGTCTATTTATTAAAAAAATGCCTACCTTTGTTTTATTTCTATTGATTAAATAGTTTCATTTCTACAATTTACAGTATAAATTGTTGACACAGACTGCTTATTTCTTTGCACAGGGTGGGCTTCGTAGGCCTAAGTTGACCCGGCACGACATGCTACGTTTTTACGATAGGTTTTTAGAGTGCCATCTCACGGCCACTTGTTGAACATAATACCCATTCAGGGGTTAAGTTTTACAACTTTTAAAGAAAAATACTCCAACTTTAAACATGAAACATAACATTTATGAATTCAGTCTTTTTTTGAAGATTTTGTGTTTCGTATTCAAAGGATCCTTAAATATCCCTGAATACAGATGTTTGCTGATTGGTTGTGTACAGTACTTGTACACAATTGAACATGCTGTAGAAAATATCGCATGTTTTAGCTGAGAATCTATCACTGTAACTCTCTTATCTCTGATTATTGATACTATATATAGTATACAGATTTGGTGTTATCACGCATAAACAAAGTGATAAATCAGCAACAATCCAGAGGATAAAATGCAATGATAAAATTCAAAAATGACATGAGTATGGCAGAGAAGGTGCTGCTTTCAACTATTCAGAAGACCTCAAAATTATCCGTCTATCTCATATCCCCTTGTGTAAACCTTTGATATTTCAAACTTAGATTATTTAATCCATCAGAATTCAATGTTTAAAATATCAAAGTTTTGCGACGTCGGGTTTTAGAGATGGAGGGCTGGATTAAAAAGAGTTTGTGGCAAATCTTTTCCTTTCACTTGTTTCATAGAACGAACCCGATTTGTGTCCAGATATACGCAGCAAATCGAACATTTTTAAATTGAGTTTTATATTTTACAAAATTCCCTAGCTTTAAAAGTTACAAATGTTTCTTTAGAATCTCGCCAGTTTAAACTTAAAGTTTAGTTTGCCGGCACAATGCGGTTTATTTTATAAAATTAGACTCGTACAAAGGAAACTCAACCAAACTGAACCAAACTGCACAAAATTTCATTCTGTACAAAAAGAAAAAAGGTAGAAGTTCAGAATTTTTTTAAATCCCAAATTAAAAGTTGGAATTCACTTCATAGGTTAGGATTTTATTTTATGTTCATCTTTTTTGAATTTCCAAGCTAGGTTCGAAGAACACTTCGTGTAATTAAGAATTAAAAATTTCGTAGATTTTCCTGTTTGAACTCGAGAATTTCCCTGGTTATAAAGAAATAGAACTTTTTGAGGCAAACTTTTGATTTTGATCGTCTTTGAACCTTTTCTACGTATACACTTTTGGCCGGTTTTGTTCTGGAGACAAGGCAAAATATAACGATGGACTGAAAATCTTTAAACCATGTTCATAATTAAGTCAATTGATTCGAGGATATTATCTAATACAAACATTTAAAATAAACAACATTTAAATCTATAATTGATAGTTTATCAGATGAAAAGACTATTTTTTTCATAAAAAATTGAAACTTTATTAAAAGTCTATATCAAGGAATATCTTTCAGGAACTCTCTATAGCTTTGTTTACGAGTAAAATTTACTGCTGTTTCTGGGAGAAATATAAACGAAGAACTGCCCAATTTCTATTTTTTTAGAACCTGTAGTACACATTTAGCACGATATTTTCTTGAAATGATGTGAGTATGGCTAAGGGGAATGTGCAATGATCGTGTGTGAGAGGTGGGGAAAGCATGACTTCCAGATATTACAGCTGATTTGACTGAATGCCGCGTTCAATTAAAAGCATGACTAAGGGGGGATGAATTTTGTAGATCCAGATTAAATTATTTCGGTGTCCTGCCTGCGTAGAGACTGACAGCTGGTGGGGTAGGGGGAAGGGGAGGGTGGATGCGAATGTAGCTCTGATACGAATGCCGATATAGGTTGGATTTAAATGTTGTAAAAGATATTTTTAATGACGACAGGATAGGATACAAATGTTGATATAAGTTAGAGTTAAAGGATGGATACAAATGTTATGATTGCTAGTGCAAGCAGGTTGGATACAAATGTTAAAAAGGATGGATACTAATGTTATAAATTTGATTTGGGTTGGGTATGATTGTTAATTTGATCTGGCTACTAATGTTAAGGTTGGATACAAATGTCATGATGGATTATTAATTTGATACAGGTTGGAATGTTAAAAAGGATGGAAACGAATGTTATGATGGATTATATAGGTTGGGTTTCATTGTTTATCTGATCTGGATATAAATGTTAAGGATGGATACGAATGTTATGAATTTGAAATAGGTTGGGTTTGATTGTTTATCTCATCTGGATACTAATGTTAAGGATGGATACGAATGTTATGAATTTGATATGGGTTGGGATTGATTGTTTATCTGATCTGGATACTAATTTTAAGAATGGATACGAATGTTATGAATTTGATATAGGTTGCATATTCCCCACAGCCTGTGAGGATAGACAACAAACCCAAACCAAACCAAACCAAACCAAACCAAAACAAACTAAACCAAACCAAACTAAGCCAAACCAAACCAAACCGAGATGTCTTGTATTAAAACACTGCTTGAAGTTTTACGAGTTATTATGTCGAGGAATATATAGTTTAATAAAGAGTATGTGAGTCAGGGAATAATGTACATTAACTCCAACCTGCCAACATATCCGCACACAATAAATAATATTTATAGCATGCTCTTCGGGATAAACTTATTTGTCGGAGAAACTGATGAAAACTGGAAACTATTAAAACAAGAATATTTAGACAATTGCGTGCAGAAAATAAACTTAACACTCGTTCAAATCATCAGACTACTTGACTCCCAAGGTTGAATTATTTAAGGTCTACGAACTTGGGTTGCACAGATATAGGAATTAGAAAATCTGAGTTTGTGACAAAGACAAAGTTTGTGGCTAGGAAACAGTTCCTTTGTCAATGATAAATGATAATGCTTGAAAATCATGCTTGATCAATGAGTAATACAAAAATAAGTTTTAAAAAAAGAGCGAGGAATGCATTTTTCTACAAGTTTTACGTCTTTTTGATAGCATGCCGTAGAATAATCAATATCGACATCAAACCGATTTTATAGAAAAGTAAATAATCCAAGGGAGAAGGGTGATGGGGTTCTCGGTAGTGGGTTGGGGGGTTGGTTCTAGTTTGAGGAGGGGGAAGGGGAAATGGTTCTAGGGGTGGGAATTAGGTTTCTATGACTACTAGATGAGAAAGCTGAATAATCTGACTGGAGTTTATACCTGGAGTTTATCAAATATATTTAACAAACAAATTCCTGAGAAAAAAAGGTAAAATTTCTGTTGTTTGACTCAAATTTTTGTAAAGATATTTTCTCGTGAAAGTAGAGCCGATGAGTTGTATTAAATCCAAGGAAAAACAAACAAAGTTAAAAAGAACAGAAACATTTAGCTTTCTTTTCATGTATTTCAAGATATCAACATTTATATATGTTCATTTACACCTGCAGTTGATCTAAGGATGAGATTTTAGTTTGGTTTGGTTTGGTTTGCAGTTTTTAATGGTTTTTTGACACAAGTTATCATGTTTCTATATATATCGCAGTTTTAAGCAAAGGAAAGAAATGTTGATGACATTGGAATTGAAAAAGAAACATGCTAAAGCCTCAAACTCTAATAAGATGTAGTTGTAAGCAGAAGTTTTCAGTATCTAGCTGCAAAGATATAGGGATTAGAAAATCAAAGTTTGCTGTAAGTAATCAGCACCTTTTCTGATTAATATCCTTGCATGAGCTTTTCTAAAAAAAACAGGCAATGGCGGAAATCTAAAAAGCTCAAATTGTAATTAAAACGGATCGTTGAATAAAATAAATAGATTTGAAAAATACCTCTAATTAAATTACATATATTTAGTACATAACTTAATTGAATTAAAAATGCAAAGCTTTCAAGGGTACCCTGGTGAATTTGACATACTCAAAGTTACCTTAGATTAGAGCCCCTTTCAAAAAGACAAAATGTATTTTATGACAAGTAGGATAGTTTTTATTGTTAAGAAAATATTACGAAAAGGATATTGTAGAAAATTATGACAGTTTCACGTCAATAATTGTTTTTCATCAAACTGTTTTCTGATAATATATGCAAATCTGCACTTTGCAGGGAACTTTAAGTTGAGGAGGGCAAAAATAAGAAAAATATCAATAACGTTTAACTTTGACTAAAAGTATAAAATTCGTCAAAAAAACTTTGGTCTATTAAAATTAAAATTAATTGACCTTAAACAGTTTTTATCATATCAAAAGGGGTAGTTGAATCCCCCCCCCCCAGTTAGGTTTTCAAAAATGTACATTATAAAACAGAATTTTGGTTTTATTTTGTATTTTTCATTTAAATTTTTAGTTGTATATAAAGTGGTTTAAACAATAAATCATTTTTATTATAATTTGTAAATAGATTTCAGGACTTTTTTTATGATTTTTGATACTCACTGCAGTGTGTCTCACGAAATATGACAATTCAAAGAAGACCTAGACCTAAATTGAATTTGCATGGACATACCGTTATTAAAACTAAAAATATAGACTTGTATTGTAGGTTTGAAGGTTTACCTGTTTATAGTGATGCGTTTAGTCATAATTGGTGTACGACCAATTAAACTGTAATGTAGTTACAGGGTGCATATGTGGCATTTAATAATTAATATTTTATGTAAATCCTGCATTTTGACATTTCATGCCACCGTAAACTTTAATTAGATTAGTTTAGTCAATATAAATAATATAAATAACAAGAAATAATTATTTATAATAAAATATTTCCACTTCGACTCATCTCTGTAAATATTAGTAGTTAGCTTATACTTAAGAATAATAATTATTAATGTTTTTTCATCAAACAGGCAGGGAGGGGGGGGGGGGGCCTTTTTGAAGAAGTGTCTTTTATTGATTATATTTACAATAAATATCATTTTGGTTGCTTTCGCTGTGGAACTTGTAAAATTATCTTAAGTAAATGACAAAACGGTTGTTAAGAGTGATTTATATTTATAATTAATTAATTTCAACCATGGAACCTATTTATTGTTCAACCAAGACTGTTAAATTAAGAACATAAACCATTCAACCCCGATTGGTTCAACCATTAAATACGTTAAATATTTCAAATATATATATTCTCCAATATACAGCTAGGTTCACATTAAACTAATTTACTTTAATCAAATTAACTTAAGTCTAAAATAATATTTCAACCCTAATTCAAATACCTGGGAATTCTCTCGATTACCTTCGAATACCTTCTAATTTTTAGGAGCATCTTGAGAGCATAGAGAAAAACAAAGAAGTTTTAAAATCGAAAAATGCAACCAAATTTTGCAATGCTTATACTTGGCGACAAATCAAATTTAAAGAAGCTACGAGGGCAGAAATTGGAATGAGTAATTTCACAAAAATAGAACTGTGTCTAGATTGATGTAAGCTATATAAGATGTAAAAATCAGCGATATTTCCACCTTTTGTTAGCTTGTCAACTTCGTTAATTTATAGAACATTCCCTTTTCCCTGCAGATAAAGAAAAAACAATGAAATAAATTGGTATAACCTGTAAACCCTGCAGGTTCCTTGTTAGATATTTGCAAATCTCCATGATTTGAGTGAATGCACATTGTTATCAGATTATACTTGCATCCTATCATGCATTTCTGCATTCAGACTGCACTTGAGAATATAGAATACTTGGTTCCATTCATCCTATACTTGGGAATATAGAATACTAGGTTCCATTCATCCTATAATTGGGAATATAGAATACTAGGTTCCATTCATCCTATAATTTTGAGTATAGATTACTAGGTTCCACTCATGCTATACTTGGGAATATAGAATACTTAGTTCCATTCATCCTATACTTGGGAATAAAGAATACTTGGTTCCATTCATGCAATACTTGGGAATATAGAATACTTGGTTCCATTCATCCTATACTTGAGAATATAGAATACTTGGTTCCATTCATGCTATACTTGGGAATATAGAATACTTGATTCCATTCATCCTATACTTGGGAATATAGATTACTAGGTTCCATTCATCCTCTACTTGGGAATATAGAATACTAGGTTTCATTCATCCTATAATTGGGAATATAGAATACTTGGTTCCATTCATCCTATACTTGAGAATATAGAATACTAGGTTCCATTCATACTATACTTGGGAATATAGAATACTTAGTTCCATTCATCCTATAATTAGGAATATAGAATACTTGGTTCCATTCATCCTATACTTGGGAATATAGAATACTAGGTTCCATTCATCCTATACTTGGGAATATAGAATACAAGGTTTCATTCATGCTATACTTGGGAATATAGAATTCTTGGTTCCATTCATCCTATACTTGGGAATATAGAATACTTGGTTCCATTCATCCTATACTTGGGAATATAGAATACTTGAAGGTTTCATTCATGCTATACTTGGGAATATAGAATACTTGGTTCCATTCATCCTATACTTGGGAATATAGAATACTTGGTTCCATTCATCCTATACTTGGGAATATAGAATACTTGTTTCCATTCATCCTATACTTGGGAATATAGAATACTTGGTTCCATTCATCCCATGCTTGCTATTACTAAATTTTTTTCTTCCAGATATCATGGTTCGAATACTGAGAGGGGTTCTAGTGCTGTATTTGCTGGTGGAGCGAGGGTTCAGCAAGTATATGGAAGGGGAGCTGAAGACAGGGGAGAACTGGGCTTTCCTAGCTAGGTTCTGCTTTCTCTCTCTAGAGGGGAAATTCGAGTACGATATTGAGTATGCAGAGGTAGGTTCTTAATATTAGTATGATGAGAGGTAGGTTCTTAATATTTGTATGATGAAAGGTAGGTTCTTAATATTAGTATGATGAAAGGTAGGTTCTTAATATTAGTATGATGAAAGGTAGGTATTTAATATTAGTATGATGAGAGGTAGGTGCTTAATATTAGTATGATGAGAGGTAGGTTCTTAATATTAGTATGATGAAAGGTAGGTTCTTAATATTAGTATGATGAGAGGTAGGTTCTTAATATTAGTGTGATGAGAGGTAGGTTCTTAATATTAGTATGATGAGAGGTAGGTTCTTAATATTAGTATGATGAAAGGTAGGTTCTTAATATTAGTATGATGAGAGGTAGGTTCTTAATATTAGTGTGATGAGAGGTAGGTTCTTAATATTAGTATGATGAGAGGTAGGTTCTTAATATTAGTGTGATAAGAGGTAAGTTCTTAATAATATTAGTATGATGAGAGGTAGGTTCTTAATATTAGTATGATAAGAGGTAGGTTCTTTATAATATTAGTATGATGAGAGGTAGGTTCTTAATAATATTAGTATGATGATGAATTAGTTCCATGTTCAGCAACATGGATGAACTAGTACAAATTTCTTCTAAATTTTTAGAAAAAAAATGTATCATCTATTCATTCACACATCATCAAGCTGTCCATTTTTGCCAAACGAACAATGAACATTTCGTATTTTGAGATTTTTGCAGAGTTTTTCTCGTGTTTATTATTAATATTGAGAAAATATTAATGTGTTTTATGTATTGTTAGATAAAAAGGTATTATATTGGGAACTGAACGGTTTATATCTTATCTCCCAGAGAACATATTAAATGCAAAGTTCCTTGCTTTATCGGTATTTTCACCAATTTCGCAAGAATTCAGCAGAAATTGTCAAATTATATGTTTTATAATGTAGAAGAATATAATAGAAATATTGTAATAGGGTTAAGAAAATTAAACAAGGAAATTTCTAGAATAGGAAAATATATTTGAGAAAATTAGAAATATAGAAAGATGAAGTATAGTCAGGCGCGTAGTGGAGGGGGGCCGGAACCCCTGTGCCCCCCCTAGACATGCACCCCTAAGCCCCCCTAGAGCCAGAGGCATGCTCTAATTTATTAAACAGTAAACTTACATATATATATATTCAAATTTTTTACTTTTCTTATCAATCGACAATGTCACAATTTGTCCTTTTTATGATTATTTCTCAAATTCTTTCTTGTACCTTAATCTTATATACAATATTTTTTTTCGCGGGGTTTCATTACAAATGATTGGTAATTATGGTCAGATGACTAATAGTCAGCCTTCAGGTAGATTAATATAGATTTTAAACTTTAAACCACACCTCAACTACGCGCCTGAGTATAGTATGAAATTTCATACTACTAACCTGAGGCTCAAACTTTGATATATTACATTCCACATTACAAGTTTTTACTGCTGTTCGCACCAGATGGAGTTGCTTTTCGTGTTCTTGATTCTTATTCTTGTTTCGATTTTTAAATTTTTATTTATGTTTAGGATTTTGTTTTTAGTTGTTTTCATGCTGTCTGATTATTTTTTTTGATGATCTTTTTCTAGTTCTGTTTCCGTTTTATTCTTGTTCTTGCTCTTGTTTTTATTATTTTTCTTGTTCTTGTTTTTAATGTTGTTAGCTTATTCTTGTTTTTTATGTTTCTAATCATGTTAGGTTGTTATTGTTCTTGTTCTTGTGTTGTTTAATCTTGTTAGCTTGTTCTTGTTCTTTTTTAATGTTTTCAATCTTGTTAGCTTTTTCTTCTTCGTGTTCTTGTTCTTATGTTTTTATCTTGTTAGTCTGTTCTTGTTCTTAAGTTTTCAATCTTGTTAACTTGTTCTTGTTCGTGTTCTTGTTCTTACGCTTTTAATCTTGTTAGCTCGTTCTTGTTCTTGTTTTTATGTTTTCAATCTTGTTAGCTTGTTCTTGTTATTAGAAAAAAAAAGTATGCGCGCTTGAGGGACAAAGATATGGGCGTGTTCGGTATTTTTTCAATTTGTTCGTTCATCTTTCGTGAACAACCCATTTAGTTTTTTTCCATCGTTCGTTTAGTAAAACAAACGATAGCTTTTTTTTCATTTCTCTGAATAATCCAAATCGTTCGTTCATTGTTTGTTTTCTAAATGATGCAATCTTTCACGAAAGATTTGTTTCGTTGAAAAAAACTATACCCAATCCTAGAAGGCCATAAGGTTTTTTTTATAGTTTCTATCAAAATACGTTTTTATAATTAAGTTTTGTTCCGAAAAATTGAATATTATATGCGCGCATTTTCAAGCTGGAGAACCCCCCTTCCATTCATCCTATACTNTCCTATCCATTAACCTATTATTAACTCCTATCCATTAACCTATTATTAACTCCTATCCATTAACCTATTATTAACTCCTATCCATTAACCTATTATTAACTCCTATCCATTAACCTATTATTAACTCCTATCCATTAACCTATTATTAACTCCTATCCATTAACCTATTATTAACTCCTATCCATTAACCTATTATTAACTCCTATCCATTAACCTATTATTAACTCCTATCCATTAACCTATTATTAACTCCTATCCATTAACCTATTATTAACTCCTATCCATTAACCTATTATTAACTCCTATCCATTAACCTATTATTAACTCCTATCCATTAACCTATTATTAACTCCTATCCATTAACCTATTATTAACTCCTATCCATTAACCTATTATTAACTCCTATCCATTAACCTATTATTAACTCCTATCCATTAACCTATTATTAACTCCTATCCATTAACCTATTATTAACTCCTATCCATTAACCTATTATTAACTCCTATCCATTAACCTATTATTAACTCCTATCCATTAACCTATTATTAACTCCTATCCATTAACCTATTATTAACTCCTATCCATTACTGGGTATTAAACAATACAATTAAAAGGTAGACTTAGAGATTGTCTTTGAATATTTAGTTGTTATTAAAGGATAAAAGTTCTATCTGCATTAAGGTTGAACAACATATAATGTTTCATAAATGTGGTTTACGTTTTGTTAAAACGTACGGTCTAATAACATCATCATTTTTATCGGAACACCCTGTACATGAACTCACTTGTAACATCATCATGTTTAATTGTACACCCTCTACATGAACTCCCTAGTAACATCATCATGTTTAATTGTACACCCTGTACATCCCTAGTAATATCATCATGTTTAATTGTACAACCTGTTCATAACTCCCTAGCAACATCATCATGTTTAATTGTACACCCTGTACAGAACTTCCTAGTAACATCATCATGTTTAATTGTACACCCTGTTCTTAACTCCCTAGTAATATCATCATGTTTAATTGTACACCCTGTACATGAACTCCCTAGCAACATCATCATGTTTAATTGTACACCCTGTACATGAACTCCCTAGTAACATCATCTTGTTTAATTGTACACCCTGTACATGAACTCCTTAGCAACATCATCATGTTTAATTGTACACCCGTACAGAACTCCCTAGTAACATCATCATGTTTAATTGTACACCCTGTTCAGAACTCCCTAGCAACATCATCATGTTTAATTGTACACCCTGTTCATAACTCCCTAGCAACATCATCATGTTTAATTGTACACCCTGTACAGAACTCCGGTAACATCATCATGTTTAATTGTACACCCTGTTCTTAACTCCCTAGTAATATCATCATGTTTAATTGTACACCCAGAGCCTGAAATTTAAAAGAGTATCGTTGAACGAAACTGCCGAGTTTCCTTTTTGGGGTCTTATTATTTGTGTAGATTTTGATTTAAGAGATTTGATAAAAATGTTAAGATATAAAGGATTAAATAAAATAATATTTTAAAACAAAAATATCGATATCTACAAAACCCATTTGTGAAACCCGGGTTCCAAAACTGGTTTTCATAACGATACCCTGTCTTAAGTTTTGGGCTCTGTACAGAACTCCCTAGTAACATCATCATGTTTAATTGTACACCCTGTTCTTAACTCCCTAGTAATATCATCATGTTTAATTGTACAACCTGTTCATAACTCCCTAGCAACATCATCATGTTTAATTGTACACCCTGTACAGAACTTCCTAGTAACATCATCATGTTTAATTGTACACCCTGTTCTTAACTCCCTAGTAATATCATCATGTTTAATTGTACACCCTGTACAGAACTCCCAAGTAATATCATCATGTTTAATGGTACACCATGTACATGAACTCCCTAGTAACATCATCATGTTTAATTGTACACCCTGTACAGAACTTCCTATTTTCCTGAAACTGACCTGTCCTAGAATATATACCTAGTGAGAGAATCTTCTTTTACATTTAGAATTCAAAACATAGAACTGAGAACAGAAGATACATGATTAATCTTAAACCCTTCCTTATTCTTCAGCCCAGAGGTTTTATCTTAGTAGGTTTAAACATTTAGATACATGATTAAACCTTTCCTTATTCTTCAGCCCCTGGGTTTTATCTTAGTATGTTTAAACATTTAGATACATGATTAATATAAACCTTTCCTTATTCTTCAACCACTGGGTTTTATATTTGTATGTTTAAACATTTAGATACATGATTAATCTTAAACCTTTCCTGATTCTTCAGCCCCTAGGAGTTCTGTTGTAATGCTTATCACGATCTTTATTATCCATGTTATCAATATATCTATATCTATTTCTATCTATTTAACCCTGACCGGCCAATCCGGTCAGTTTGATTTACCTGTATATATAAATAAATAAGTACTACACGAAACGTTGTGTTACACGGACGTATACAGAGCCTTGGGTTTTGGCTAGAGATTGAGAGCCTTGAGTTTTGGCTAGATATAGAGTCAGTGAGACTGTAATTAGACTTTGAGCAGCGTAATCTCGGGACCTAGATTTATTACATATCTTTGTTTGTTCAAACATTAAGATACATGATTAATCTTAAACCTTTCCTTATTCTTCAGCCCCTGGGAGTTTTATCTTAATCAAAACAATCAAATAATAAATCAAAATCAATAATCAAAATTTAAATAACTGGGATACAGTGCAGTTTGATTAGCTGTAGCGCTTTAAATTAAATAAAAAAAAACTTCTCGAAGGAAGTGTTTATTTCCAGTAACATGAACCATTTCTACAGAATTTCCAGTAACCCGAACCATTTCTACAGTAGAATTTCTAGTAACCCGAACCATTTCTACAGAATTTCCAGTAACCCGAACCATTTCTACAATAGAATTTCCAGTAACCCGAACCATTTCTACAGTAGAATTTCCAGTAACCAGAACCATTTCTACAGTAGAATTAACAATTAACAACAATCCATGTCCTTAGTCTGATTGCAAAAATGAACGAGACGAAGTCTGGGTTTTCTATAAAAATGAAGTTACTTGTTGCAGAATAATTGGAAATTGTGAAAATTAAACACTTAAAAGCTTAAAAACTAAACTATCTGTACCTAAACCCTGAAGTGAATCCTAGTTCTAGCAGTGGGAGGGGGGGTTCTGGAAATAAAGATAAGAAGTAGTCCTGAAAGATTGTTTATGTGAATATATTGAGTAAATATCAGATATATGAGACAAGTTGCAGACACATTCCATGTAAGTTCTTTCAGTAAAACAAAAAGCAGAACCATCATATTTTTATCTGTAAATGTTACTTTTTCTGTATACGTATGTTAAAAAATAACAGTTAAAAAAAAGGGTCACGGCACATAAAAAAGTAAAAAACATGTATTGCATAATTCGTGGTTTGAGTTCCCTTCAGATTATTTGTAAAATTTTAATCTAACAAATTGCTGTAATAGTTTTATTAAATTCACAGAGTTTGAGACCAAATTTGCTGTTTTTTATATGCACCTGTCCAGAAAATATGTAAAACTTTTTTTGACAAACGTACTTTTCAACTCTGTTGAACTTAAGGTTTAATTAAGATTTGAGAACCGTTGAAATATTTTGTGTTGCAAACGAGAATGAAAAAAATAATAAAAAGGTTTTTACACTCATTTTTACCAAAAAATAATATTTTGGTCTTTGCACTAATTTTGTATGATAAAACTGCAGAGGTTATAAAACATCTTAAAATAAAATTTATTTTTTGAAGAAAAAATTTGTTTAGAATTTTATAAGAGACGAGTGCTGAAAGAAAAATGTAAGATATTATGATTTTCGAATTTATGGTTTCAATTTTTTAAAAAAAAACTATTAGATGGTATCAAAAATAGTACCACTCTGCTTATATCTAAATGGTCTGTGTACACAGACCCATTTAATTTAATAAATGATTTATTTAATAAGATAATAGTTTCTTTATTTTGCTTTGTAACAACAACTAATACAGTTAATTATTGCTTAAATGTCGTCTTCATATTTCAGAGTTTTCTGGTGGTCCGATTTTTAAGACAGGATATCGTTCTGAAACCAGTTTCAGAATCGGAAACCCGGTTTTGTAAAGTGGGTATTTCGTAGATATTATCCTTTTTGTTGAAATACTTTTGCTATATGAATACTTTCATACTCTCTTTTACATTTTCGCGCAATTTTCGGAATTTCAAAATTTTCCTTGGAATTGCGCAGCTTTGGGCAAACACGAATTTGGTAAATGTAAACGTAAATCAAAGTACATGGGTCCGCTTTAAATCTAGCATTTAATCATTCTTCATTATATTAGATTCTTAAAAAATTGAAGATTATAAAACTTGTTTCAGGAGTACGAGGTACAAAATCTGGATCTGTATTATGATACAGACACACAATGGCCCCTGGTGTACGGATCCAGTTCAAACCTAACTTCGTGTCAGGAGAAGGAAGCTGTTCTCCAGGTAGGTCCTTAAATAGAAAAGGTTGTACATACAAGTTAGTTCTATCTAAAGGACCGTAATTTGTACCTACGTTGACACTACATTAAACTATTTTGATCGAGAAATTAAATTTTTCACTGGTAAAACTTTACCTATTGAATATTTTTAATCTTTTTAATCTAAAAATTACTATTTTGACGTTGTGTACTACTTTACTGTACTGTACTGTAGGTTGAGAATAACCAGTTTATAAACATGACAACTGAGATTGTGTACTGCTGTACTGACTGTACTGTACTATACTGTACTGTATAATGTATTATACTATATTGTACATTACTTTAGGTTGAGAATAACCAATTTTTAAACCTGCAAACTGACAGTTTGTACTACTGTACTGTCCTGTACAGTACTTTAAGTTGAGAATAACCGGTTTATAAACCTGACAACTGAGATTCTGTACTCTACTGTAATGTAGGTTGAGAATAACCAGATAAATCTGACAACTGAGGTTGTGTACTACTGCACTGTACTGTACTGTAGGTTGAGAATAACCAGTTTATAAACCTGACAACTGAGGTTGTGTACTACTGTACTGTACTGTAGGTTGAGAATAACCAGATTACCCACAACAAATTATACTATAAGGAAGACCTAAAATTCTTAGAATATAGTGATCCGAAAGCTGAATTTTTTGGTTTCTGCGCTGCATACAGTTTACACAGGATATATTTAATGGGTTGACAAAAAACACAGTTAGTTGTAGAGACGAAAGTTGAGGAATAAAAACTGATTCCGTACAGTCGTCTTTGAAGTCTCATCCTTTGTGGGTAACCCTGTGGCCTGTATAAAAACAAACAGTTGTGTACAGGGTCTGCCAATAAACACGGGAATTGAGAGCCAACTTGAATATCTTCTTCGATTTCTGATAAATCAGGGGAAGAAAGTTCCAAACCGTGCTTATGTTCCAAACCTGACACTGAGTGCCAGGTTTGGGCACAATTATTATGATCAACGTTTTATTAACTCTTTCTGTGATGAGAGCAACTTTAATTAAAGAAACTAATTCCAACATATTAATAAGAACTACGAGAACTAGAATAACACTATTTATTTCTTTTCTAAAACTTAAAACTGTAAGTAGACGTTCATTTTTAATATAAACCCCATACCATTTTTGAAAAAAATCAAGGTTTTCCATTTACATGTGAATCTTGGCACGTTTTGGAACATAAACCATCTTACGTGACAATCCAAAATTTGAGAATATTCAACAGTTCGGAACAAAACTCGCTTTCATAATTAACAGAATAGCATGAATCATTAAAAATATTTTTATCTTCTAAATTATTTAAAACATTATAATTATATTATTTATTTTCAAACACAAAATACAAAATAATAATGTATGATGGTTCAGCTTAAAATAAAACACAAAAGAAAATGTATTATGAGCCGATTGAAAATATAATGTTTGATAATTTTGTTTGATCGTATTTGTTGAAATCTCAACTAAATATACATTCATTGTGCATTTACTAGTAGATAACTAGTCAGCACTCAAATAATCAAAACATTTTCAGGAATGCATTCATTGAACTCATGAATACATATATTTTTAAATACGGAAAGTAAAGATGATTTCAAGTTTTATCCATTTTTAATAAAAAAATTTACTGCCATTTTTCTGTTCAATTTAATTGTTAGATCAATATAATATTACTATTAAAAATGTTCTATGATATAAGTTGTTATATTTTAAAATATTAGAGCAGAACATATTTTTTTACATTTTTATTATTTCAATATTTAGATTCTACCAAATACAAAAATTTGTTTCTTATCGAATTGTGTAAATGCTTGAAAGTATCATTGATTCAAATCTGTGAAATATTTCAAAAATAGCGATATGTTCCAAAACTTGTTTTGTGCCGAAATGTGACATGTTCTAAAATGAAATCAATAATTTCATCAAAAATTGAAATTTCTTTACTTGGAGGAGTTTCATATTTTGTTATAAAAATATAGCCTTAACTATTCTAAATTAAAGTATGCAAACGATTGTTTTCTTCTCGACCTAAATAAAAAAATATAAACCGTTAAAACAGATAACTTTGCACAGTTGGCCAAAACCATTCTTGTATGCCATTAGCTCCTGCTCCAATCAGGATTCAGTCATGTGTTTGGTGTCTATTCTGAACCAATAGAAATAGTATGGCGGTAACATCTATCTTTCTATCTATAAGCGCATTATCCAATTAGAGATACATCCTTATATTGGCGCTATAACAGTAAATGGAAATATTTACTTCTTCAGAAACTATAGTGAAACCTGAAACTTAGTGTAAGGTTTGGGCCAAATCACGGTTTGAAATATTCTTCCCCTGTAATATATATAGCTTACAAATTAATTTTTAAAGTAAAATGGTTTATAATGTATATATATACAGTATACACGTCGTANTTCTAAATTAAGTTCTAAATTAAGTTCTAAATTAAGTTCTAAATTAAGTTCTAAATTAAGTTCTAAATTAAGTTCTAAATTAAGTTCTAAATTAAGTTCTAAATTAAGTTCTAAATTAAGTTCTAAATTAAGTTCTAAATTAAGTTCTAAATTAAGTTCTAAATTAAGTTCTAAATTAAGTTCTAAATTGTACCAATTCAGGAATTTCCGAACAGCACGTGAAAGATGGTGGTTTGTGGCGATATCTAACTGTAGGTCAGCCAAGGGGCTCAATCTCAGGTATCATTATTATCAGTGTTATCATCTATGGTCCTTCTGTTAGTGGAAAATAATTACAGTTCTATAATTTATTTTCATGATAAAACATAATTAAAAAGAAAGTAAATAATAAGGTTAAGTTAAATTTTATACTAATTATGCATAAATAGTATTATTATCATTATAATAAATCAAACCGCGCACTTTTTATAGATGCGTTCAGGGGCCAAACATTTACAAAACAAAATATATAATACTTCTTCGATTAGGCATTTTTAGACCAAATAATTTATTAAATCCAAAGATAATTTATACATTGCAGAGGCCGAATTAAAAGTTGAGCCGCGGCTCGAATAGGACACGCGGTTTAAACATGATTGGTTCATCTTGAAATTGTATTAATTATTTTGAGATTTTACTGCGACACGGTTTAAATTCTTTAAATTAGGCCTCTGTTTTGTTGTTATTGTTGTAATGTAAGTTTTTGTTCTCTTCTTTGTGTTTTTATATTTGTTTAGTTTACGTTGTTTATAATGTTGTTAGTATACGGGTTCTCTTGTCCTAGTTGGGATTCACATTGATCCAAAGGTTGCAAAGGAGTCCTAGTTGGGATTCACATTGATCCAAAGGTTGCAATGTCTTACGCAAACAAAGCTGACAATTTCACCAATTACTTCTGAAAAGCTTAAGCTTATAGCTCCTAAACGTTCATGTCTAGGGCTACAATAAAGTTGAGAGTAGGTGACGTCAAATCAATTGTCCAAGGCGTTGTAAGTGTGACACTACAAAACCGAATCAGTATTTAAAATTGATACGACTCTATCTAACAGTCTAGATGATGTTAATATTGTATTTGAAATAGTTGTCTTTGAAGAATGAAACTAACAGAATCTGACTTCTAACTTTCAACTAAATTCAAACTGTCATCATATATTGTTTCATGGTTTACATCAAGTCCAACAGAAAGAAATCTAATAGCAAAGAGAATAGATAACAGAATTACGTCGAAAAAGTGTAAAACCGCCATTTTGTTGTACTGTTTACATACTACAGAGCCCAAAACTTAAGACAGGGTATCGTTCTGAAAACCAGTTTTAAACCCGGGTTTCACGAATGGGGTTAGTCAGTTTTGTGAATATCAATATTTTTGTTATGAAATACGATTTTATTCAGTATGTTTATATTCTCCATTTCTTTCAAATCACTTAAATCAAAATCTAGACAAATGTTAAGCCCCCAAAAACTCTGGAGTTTTGTCCAATGATACTCTTTTAAATTTCGGGCTCAGGTATAGTTCACAGATTTGTTCTGTATAATTGTTTGGGCCCTGGAATATATTTTTATAGTAATAAATGTTCTTGAATATTATTTGATTTTCTCTAAATCAATTCTCTGACAACCTGTCATGCATTCCCGAGTTCATTTCAACATAAACTTTATAAAAAGGAGAAATTGTAACGGATATGTCCAGGGATCATACTATATTATTGTGATGTATGCTGCTTTTAATTTGTGAACATTTACATGAATTATACACCTTTAACTACTTTTCAATCTTAAAAGGACTGAAAAAAATCATACCGAGGGATAGTCTTTTTTCTCCTTTATTCTAATCTCTGTTCTGTGCATGAAAGCCCAAACTATATATGTACAAAGGGAAAGTTTCAGAGAAAAAAAACCTGGAAATACAAACTTTGCTAAAAAAAATCCCAATAGGACAAATGACACTGGAAAAAGTCCTGGGTTTTAGATTCCTGGGACTTTTTCCCTAAAATACGATCACAGGAAATAAAGTCTTGAAGAAAATAAATCTGAAAAAAAAGAAAAAAAGTCCCTAAGTCTTGGGAAAATGAGTCTGAGACGCTTTCATAATAAAGCCTTTTATTCTATACATTTGTACATTAAATATAGCCAGGGGTATTTTGAATGTCAAGCCCCTTTTTTTCCGTGGTTGTAAATATCGTTCGTTCCCCTGCATTTTCCACTATAAGAAGAATTTTTTCCTGGGACTTTTTTATAAAATCATACTGGAACCAGAAAAAAATGTTTGTTTTTTCTAGAGACTTTTTATTTCAAGGATTTTTTTCCACAGGACTTTTTAGTTCCAAAATTTAGAACTTTATTTCCGAAAACTTTTTTTCAAAAAACTTTTTTAGCGGTTAAACACTGTACAACGGAGAAGCCCCTTGAATTCTGTTTAATAAGTCCAATCTCAAAATTGTTCCAAAGCGGGTCGTAACATGGATTGAAAAACAAACTTACGCGCGATGGTTTAACTTGAGCAAGCAATATGGATTTTATCATATATTGTTGAAACTGCATGCATGTTTATAATCTTAATCTATATATATAAAGTTGTAATCTCTGTTTGTCCGAACCCCTCTGGACCGATTTGCCTCAAATTTTGATTGGGGAACTCGGGAGACCAACGTGAATGTTCTTAGCTTGGTTTTGAGATTCTAAGCTGAGTGGGTCGACTTTAAAAGCGAAAATTTAGTTTCTCGGTAAAATTGCATTAGTGCGGGTAAACGGCGGAGTAACTTTTAGTAACCTGGGCAGCGCTGGGTTCTCAAGATAGTTTCTAATATATATGTTCATTTATCTGTACAGTGTGTTACAAAAAAAACTTTAATGGTAGCTAGAGCCTCAATACAGAGTTATTTTGGGACACCCTGTTTACGGATCGATTTATGTTTGTTTGGTACTGTTTAGTCAATCTACTTTATTAAAGGGACTGTACACGTAATTTCAAGTGTTCATGATTTTAATTTTTAAAAACGGATTATTTAAAATTGCGAATTCTTTACAAAAGTTATTTCCGCATTTCTGTTGCAGGAAAGCAATATAGGAACTGTCAGAATTAAACACTTTTCTGGCTAGAAAAAATGTATTTTCAAGATTATCAAAGAGCTCAAGGTTTCAAGGGTATCGTTATGAATCGTACCTGCTTCTCCTTGAATGGAGGGTAAATTGAAATTACGAACGAGTCCCTTTAAGTCAAGCCTCTGTTCGTTCTGAATTGTGCGTACTGCGTACACACTACACATGACATATGATGAGATTTATCTGTATTTGGACATACTATTCTAAGAAGACAACATTCTAACATGTCATCATTCAATCCAAGAGTAAAGGTGTAAGTCAATCCTGTTTAAACTCGACGTATTTCACTGAGGACAATATTAAAGTATTGATTAATTGATCATGTATGTAATGTAAAATATGTTATATATTATCTTTAAAACCCTTTAGATCGAGAACATTCGAACTATTTGATTGAAATTCCCCTCTTTGAACTTTTTTCCACTTAAATTTCTCTTTAAATTCCCGGAACAAACTTTTACATAGTAATATCTGCAATTGTGCATATTTCATATGTAGTGGATCGATACATTTAACTTAGATACTATACACCAATAAAACTGCGGAATAGGAAGACGACTTTTAGACTCAAGGAATGATTCTCAAGCTTTACTGAGCCCGCGATTTAAAATTACGATATTACGGCTCGGGTCTAAGCTGTTGTTGGGCCTTATTCACGGCTTGAAATGATCAAAAAAAGTGTACGCTGAACAGTAGGGGCAGTTTCAAGTAAGTGACCTTTCTTGTGAAGATGGTATCCTTCCAACCTTGATCTGATTAATAATGTTAAAAAATTGTCGTTTTTTAAAAGAGTTAAACTTTGATAATTCTGATATGTTTACCTGCAATAGAAATGCGAATTCACTTTTGAACTGAAACCACAATTAAAAATACTCTATCTGGATAGGCTGAGCAGGCCTATAGTGTCCCGGCACGCCATACTACGGTTCCATGTCATCTTTTTTGACTGACATCTCACGACCATTTGTTGCATTCAGGGGTTAAGTTTAAGCTGTCTATTTTTAATGATTTTGTGTTTCGTATTCAAAGGATCCTTAAATATCCCTGAATACAGATGTCTCCTGATTGGTCGTGTACAGTACTTGTACACAATAGAACATGCTGTGGAAAATATCGAATATTATAGGTGTTAATCGATCTCTATAACTCTCTTATCTCTGGTTTAAACATTGATATATTTCTTTCGGCATGGAGGGTCACTTGTAATTGGTTAAAAAATCAGGTCAGGCCTTTCCTCGTATGCCGAGGATCGACCCTCCATTTAAACACGGCCATTGCCGATTCACAAAGGTACCAAATAATACGGTATTTGATAAAAAAAATGAATAAAGTGGAAGATCTAAATTTTTCTATAGATTTAAACAAGATTAATTCTCAATTGTGTCCGTAGTGAGAAATGAGTGTATTTATACAGTGAAACCCTTAATAACGAATACATCGAAAGAATTCATCAAATGTCGTATTCTTCACTTTCTGATAATGGAATGTTACAGATATTTAGTTTTTTTTAATTAAATGATTATATGGAACTCTTTAAAACTGTTCCCGTATATTCGTGGCTATTTATTTATTTCCGCAAATACTGAAATTTACGTAATATAGTATAAAACTCATTGAAACATTGTCAAGACGACATTTCATAAATTCTTTCGATGTATTCGTTATTAAGGGTTTCACTGTATAGAGTAAACACAATTGAAAGTAACCAATTTTTTAAAGATATGATCTTGAATATATTTATTTGTTTTCCAGGTACAAGCTATGGCTGACTAACGGAGATCGAGGAGATTTTTTCCACCATCATTTCTCAGCTGACGAGTTCTACATTCTTCCAATCCTATTAGGTTTGTAAATATGCATATATTTGAGTCAGTAAATTTTTGTTCAAGTATTTTTTCAAACTTTATTTTAGTTTTGATGAACTTTTATTAGCTCTTTAGAAAGGATAGTAAAGAGAAAAATCAGAAAGTATATCATGACGAGCAAATTCAGACAGGACAGTATACAGAAAAAAATCAGAAAGTATATCATGACGAGCAAATTCAGACAGGACAGTTTAAAGAAAAAAATCAGAAAGTATATCATGACGAGCAAATTCAGACAGGACAGTATAAAGAAAAAAATCAGAAAGTATATCATGACGAGCAAAAGGATAGTATACAGAACCGCATCAGAAATATAATGTAAAAAAGGTCAAAAATATTGAAATGATAAAAAATTCAAAATTATGAATAAAAGATTTGTTTAATGCTTCCTTGAGACCACCCCTTGTAATAAATAGAAGGAGAAAACTAAATCAAACTGCAAAACATTTATCAATGCATCTGAGAGGTATGAATCCTTGTGTGGATTACATTGCAAAACTATTCATATCATAAATAAAACTGCAAAATACAAAATATATTTCTTTAAGAAAGAAAAATGCCTTGACTTACAAAGGAACTGATTTTAGCCATAAAATATGGTTTTATAATGATTATATCTTTGCAACCCGATGTCGTAGACCTGTGGTATTTTAAGCTGTTAATTCTACGAGATAAAATATTCCAAGCTTGAAATATTTCACAAATTTTGACTCAAGGGTATTCTAAAGGTTTCAGGCTGGTTATTTTAAAATCTGTAGGCTCTAAATATATCTACAGTTAATACTTAATAGCTAGGTTCTGTGTTTTAATGTTTTTGGGTGTCAAGTTCTTGAAAATAGGTTCTCAGCAAGAGTTTTGATTTTTTTGGTGCAATTTTTTTTTGCAGTTAAGGTTTTATGGCGGCAGTGATATAGTTTAAAGAAGTATAGTGTTTAGACTTAAATAAAGAAGTAAAGTGTCTAGGTTTAGAAAGAGAATTATATTCTCTAGGTTTAGATAATGATGTACAGGGACTAGGTTTAGATAAAGAAGTATAGTGTCTAGGTTTAGATAAAGAAGTATAGTGTCTAGGTTTAGATAAAGAAGTATAGTGTCTAGGTTTAGATAAAGAAGTATAGTGTCTAGGTTTAGATAAAGAAGTAAAGTGTCTAGGTTTAGATAAAGAAGTAAAGTGTCTAGGTTTAGATAAAGAAGTAAAGTGTCTAGGTTTAGATAAAGAAGTAAAGTGTCTAGGTTTAGATAAAGAATTAAAGTGTCAGGTTTAGATTAAGAAGTATAGTGTCTAGGTTTAGATAAGGAAGTATAGTGTCCAGGTTTAGATAAAGAATTAAAGTGTCCAGGTTTATATAAAGAAGTATAGTGTCTAGGTTTATATAACGGAGTAAAGTGTCCAGGTTTAGATAAAGAAGCATTGTGTCTAGGTTTAGATAAAGAAGTATAGTGACTATAGGTTTAGAAAAAGGATAAAGAAGTATAGTGTCTAGGTTTAGATAAAGAAGTATAGTATCTAGGTTTAGATAAAGAAGTATAGTGTCTAGGTTTAGATAAAGAAGTATAGTGTCCAGGTTTGATAAAGAAGTAAAGTGTCTAGGTTTAAAGAATTATAGTGTCCAGGTTTAGATAAAGAAGTATAGTGTCTAGGTTTAGATAAAGAAGTATAGTGTCTAGGTTTAGATAAAGAAGTATAGTGTCTAGGTTTATGACATTTCATAAATTCTTTCGATGTATTCGTTATTAAGGGTTTCACTGTATAGAGTAAACACAATTGAAAGTAACCAATTTTTTAAAGATATGATCTTGAATATATTTATTTGTTTTCCAGGTACAAGCTATGGCTGACTAACGGAGATCGAGGAGATTTTTTCCACCATCATTTCTCAGCTGACGAGTTCTACATTCTTCCAATCCTATTAGGTTTGTAAATATGCATATATTTGAGTCAGTAAATTTTTGTTCAAGTATTTTTTCAAACTTTATTTTAGTTTTGATGAACTTTTATTAGCTCTTTAGAAAGGATAGTAAAGAGAAAAATCAGAAAGTATATCATGACGAGCAAATTCAGACAGGACAGTATACAGAAAAAAATCAGAAAGTATATCATGACGAGCAAATTCAGACAGGACAGTATAAAGAAAAAAATCAGAAAGTATATCATGACGAGCAAAAGGATAGTATACAGAACCGCATCAGAAATATAATGTAAAAAAGGTCAAAAATATTGAAATGATAAAAAATTCAAAATTATGAATAAAAGATTTGTTTAATGCTTCCTTGAGACCACCCCTTGTAATAAATAGAAGGAGAAAACTAAATCAAACTGCAAAACATTTATCAATGCATCTGAGAGGTATGAATCCTTGTGTGGATTACATTGCAAAACTATTCATATCATAAATAAAACTGCAAAATACAAAATATATTTCTTTAAGAAAGAAAAATGCCTTGACTTACAAAGGAACTGATTTTAGCCATAAAATATGGTTTTATAATGATTATATCTTTGCAACCCGATGTCGTAGACCTGTGGTATTTTAAGCTGTTAATTCTACGAGATAAAATATTCCAAGCTTGAAATATTTCACAAATTTTGACTCAAGGGTATTCTAAAGGTTTCAGGCTGGTTATTTTAAAATCTGTAGGCTCTAAATATATCTACAGTTAATACTTAATAGCTAGGTTCTGTGTTTTAATGTTTTTGGGTGTCAAGTTCTTGAAAATAGGTTCTCAGCAAGAGTTTTGATTTTTTTGGTGCAATTTTTTTTTGCAGTTAAGGTTTTATGGCGGCAGTGATATAGTTTAAAGAAGTATAGTGTTTAGACTTAAATAAAGAAGTAAAGTGTCTAGGTTTAGAAAGAGAATTATATTCTCTAGGTTTAGATAATGATGTACAGGGACTAGGTTTAGATAAAGAAGTATAGTGTCTAGGTTTAGATAAAGAAGTGTAGTGTCTAGGTTTAGATAAAGAAGTATAGTGTCTAGGTTTAGATAAAGAAGTATAGTGTCCAGGTTCAGATAAAGAAGTAAAGTTTCCAGGTGTCTAGGTTCAGATAAAGAAGTAAAGTGTCCAGGTTTAGATAAAGAAGTAAAGTGTCTAGGTTTAGATAAAGAAGTTTAGTGTCTAGGTTCAGATTTTAGTGCAATATTTGACAGTTATGTATTATGTTTTCTTGTTAAACGAGACACATTCATCTCCGAGTCCAAGACTGGAAAAATTCACAAAATGTCTGAAGAAAGGATTGAAAAGTATATAATTCTTTTTTTCTGAAAAGTATATATTTCTTTTTTTCTGAAAAGAAGCATACTTGAATACGAAATAAAGATGAAAATGTTCTAAATGCATCAAGCAAATTAATTCCTCCTTTGTAGAAACTACCCAATGGAGTGTATTTTACTTCAACAGTGCTTTCTTTTAATTTGATTTTGTAAAAGAAACATTTTTAGGCTACGGAGGTTCCAATCTTATTCTTCTTCTCTTCACTTTCAGGTTAGAATTTATGTGCTATGATCAAGGAGTATGAAATAGAATGGAGATACAACTGACGCGGCCCGCCCTACCATATGATTAGACATGCTTTGCATCCGGTACTCCATTCAGTATAGGTTATTGTATACGCGGTAATTGTACATCAGACAAATATTTCTTATACAAATGGAGTACCGTCTGCAAAGCATGTATATTCATATGGTAGGGCGGGCCGCGTCAGTTGTATGTCCCTACTATTTCATACTTCTTGGATTGCATTGGCTGAGTTGATAAAGAAAATGACACATTTGTAATATTATATTTCTATCTAATGTTCTGAAAAACCTAACTCAGTCGTGGCAAGAAATTGTCTTTCTTAATATAAATTATTTTTTTCTTTTCAGAAAATCAGATAAATTGATCCAAAATGATCCTAAACATCCCGGTTTATTTTTTATGAACACTCCTTTTAATGATTCATACGGCCGCCGGTTTTTTAGGAAGTGACCCACAAACACCGTCCACCAATATATATATACCACCAATAAAAATTCCGAGATTTATTTCATTTAAGATCAAGCGCTGCAAAATTAAAATACTATTTGGCAATTTTAATCTTAAACGGGAATTCAATGGTGCCATTCCGATGTAAAATCGTTTATCGGAACTCTTTAATTTGAGAGTTGTGAAATTCGCTGAGGAGATACAAAAGTATTGAAAAAATAGGAAGACTGTTAGCCCAGGATTGCATCTCTTTTTATCCTATAAAATGCTCTAAATTTTAATGTATGAAATCGATTAAACGTCTAAAAATGTACAACACGTATTCTCCCTCCCCAGAGAGAAATATGTTTTCATAATTTTGGAGAAAATTTCAGATTTTACTTTTCTTCAGAAAAGTTCTAGAAAATTATGGGAGGGGAGGATTTTCTTTTTTATTATAATATAGTAAACGCTGTATCGTTCAAATTTTAGTTTAATCAATGATTCTGTTGAAAGAAGAAAATCAAATATTTATGCATTTTTGCTATACAATAAAACTAAGGAATCCCTCAAGAACAATTCTGAAGAACTTGAATTATTATTCTTTCTGTTCCTATGCTGTTGTTTCATCCCCTTCTAATCAACATTTTAAATTGAAAAATCAAAGAATAATAAACATTTGCATTTTAAGGGACTGCGAATGTAATTTAAGTGAACCTTCATATACGGAGGGGCATGTCTGATTCACAAGTGTACCCTTTAAACTTGTTATCAAGCATTAATGAGATATTCTCATTCTTCTAGCGAAAAATTAATTACCTGTGGTTTCTCTAAAAAAGTGACTTGCGAATTTACGCTGCAGAGACAATGAAAGAAAGAAAAACGACGATTTCTTCCCCCAGTGTTACTTAGAAGATGTAAATGGTACCGTTGTAAATTGTACATGCGCTTTTTATATGGAGGGTCCCTGTAAAAGAATTTATCACAAGAAAAAACGAAAAAATTGGCTTTTTAAAAACTTTCTGAAAAGAATAATTTTTCATTTACACTATTTAAAGTTTTCTTATCCTAGGACTGCAGTTCAACTACGAAGTAGACAACTTCTTCATGTGACATATAAACTCTTCTTTTCTTCAGTTCTTCTCCAGGTATAGAATAAACACAGGAACAAATCAGGTTCTCCGGGTAAATTAAACATAGAAGAAACTCATTCTTCCGTCTTTTCGAGGTATAGGAATAGGATGCATGATTTTTGTTTGAAATATAAATAAATATTTGTGTGTAAAAATGATGTGAGACTGAGTGCATATAATGTGAATATAAAGTGTTGAGTAAAGAAATAAATCATCTACTACTCTCAAACCATATTATATTCTAAAGAGGAGTAGACACTATACAGAATACATCTGTGTAAGGTAGTGGCTTCCTACCTACAGGGTGCTCAATATTATATCAGTATAAGGTGGTTGCTTCCTACCTACAGGGTGCTCAATATTATATCAGTATAAGGTAGTTGCTTCCTACCTACAGGGTGCCCAATATTATATCTGTATAAGGTAGTTGCTTCCTACCTACAGGGTGCTCAATATTATATCTGTATAAGGTAGTTGCTTCCTACCTACAGGGTGCTTAATATTATATCTGTATAAGGTGGTTGCTTCCTATCTACAGGGTGCTCAATATTATATCTGTATAAGGTAGTTGCTTCCTACCTACAGGGTGCCCAATATTATATCTGTATAAGGTGGTTGCTTCCTACCTACAGGGTGCTCAATATTATATCTGTATAAGGTGGTTGCTTCCTACCTACAGGGTGCTCAATATTATATCTGTATAAGGTAGTTGCTTCCTACCTACAGGGTGCCCAATATTATATCTGTATAAGGTGGTTGCTTCCCACCTAAAGGGTGTCCAATACTACATCTGTAAAAGGTAGTGGCTTCCTACCTACAGGGTGCTCAATATTATATCTGTATAAGGTGGTTGCTTCCTACCTACAGGGTGCTCAATATTATATTTGTATAAGGCAGTTGCTTCCTGTCTACAGGGTGCTCATCTGTATAAGGTGGCTGCTTCCTACCTACAGGGTGTCCAATATTATATCTGTAAAAGGTGGTTGCTTCCTACCTACAGGGTGCTCAATATTATATTTGTATAAGGCAGTTGCTTCCTGTCTACAGGGTGTCTATTGTCAAAAATTATGACCTTGTCTAAAAATTACAGAATTTGACCCAAGGAAGAAGGATCCCCCAGAGTTCTTTGTTTATAATTGGAGTGTGACTCTGGGAGAAACATAAACAAACTAAGCCTAGCTGAGCTGCAGTACTGAAACTGCAGTACACTTTTAATTTAAACAAAGCTGATGAAATTCCTTTCAGAATGTTTGTTAAAAGTTATCTGATAGATACTTTGTTTTGCCTTTTTCAAAAAATTATTGCATGGATTTGAATATTTCGACATTTTTTATTCTCCTATTTTTACGAATGTTTTCTTAGTTAAATACCGTTTTGTCCATTCTTTGTTATGTAACTATACATCATATTCTAGAGAAGCAGACATATACCACTCAATTCTGTTTATATATCATCAATATATACATATATGTATATTCTCCTCATACTAAATATTATTATTGTGCTATTAGGTTCTATAATGGATTACACCGTTTCCATTCACTTTCTATTCAATAACTATATATTTAAGATTTATTCAATAAAACCTGAAGTGTCCACCATTCAAGGGACAGCTTACGATAAATTATCAGGGGGCGATACATTTTGCGCGTCCCGCCAAAATTTTGTTTCCCCACCCCAAAAAAAACCCCCCCCCCCCCCATAGAATTTTGAAAAGGGATTTTGGGCATCTTAATATTAAAACCCCTGAGAAGAAATATGTTTTACAGCCTTGGTGATTTTATACATCTATATAATTCACACATAGCTATAGCTAGCCAAAGTGTTTTTATGAATTTTAACGGGCAACACCGAGCACTTCAGCTAGTTTTCTCTAAACAACACCGAGCACTTCAGCTAGTTTTCTCTAAGAACAACTTTACTTTGATTGAGTAAAGGGAAACAAATCTTTCAACATATTTTGAAAAATCTAAATTATAGGGCGCCGGCTAGAAGGTGCCTACTCTCTCTATAGTTGAGCCCCCCCCCCTCAATTTTATAGGGGGGGGGGTGTCCCCCAAAATATCCAGAGGCTTGTCCCCCTTATCCCCTATGTCTACGCCTATGCCTTTGCAACGTTGCCCGTGAAATCAAAATTGACCTACTGCATCAGAACGGTTTATCTGAAATATTCATATTCTATAAACTCCTTAATTTAAAAATAAGAAAAACAGGGTTTTTAAATCATTTAGAAATATATTGTAGTCTTGTTCAACTGCAGACTGTAATCTAACAAACTGTCAAAATTCAAGAAAAAAGTTGTTTCTTGAGAAAATTCTGAGAATTTTTTTATTCTCTTTATGATGTTAAAATACCGCTATATGGTTTCTAGTTTATTATTAAATGAACTGTCAGCGTAACTTCAAGTGACTCTCCATGTAAAGATGACAATGTCCGATTCACAACCGTACCCTCAAAGTTTTGTCGGATCAAGTATGAATTGGATTTCAATGTTTTTAATTTTGAAAACTGAATATTTTCAATTTCCCTAGAAAAGTGACTTGCAAATCATAAAATAAAAATAAAAAGGAATGATCCAATTTAAAACTTTAAATCCTAGAAAAACGAAGATATCTTCCACATTATTGATCAGATAAAGTATATAAGGGTTCCGTTGTGAATCAGAAATTACCCTATTTTCATGGAGGGTCACTTAAAAATACGCTTACATTCCCTTTAATGAAAGATACTAAATGCTTCTTCCTTTTATCAGGGTTGTTGTTGAGAACTTGGAATTCCTGTAGTTTGTATTACCATATTAAATTCAAGTATATAAACTATTCAGAAAATTCTATTTAAACTCAACTCCAACTACGAGATCAATTTATTTTCTTGCATACTTACATCCTGACATACTTACATCTAGACATACTTACATCAAGACATACATCCTGACATACTTACATTTAGGCATACATCCTGACATACTTACACCTAGACATACATCCTGACATACTTACATCTAGACATATACCCTGACATACTTACATCTAGACATATACCCTGACATACTTACATCCTGACATACTTACACCTAGACATATACCCTGACATACTTACATCCTGACATACTTACATCTAGACATATACCCAGACATACTTACATCTAGACATACATACTTACATCTAGACATATACCCAGACATACTTACATCTAGACATACACCCTGACATACTTACATCTAGACATATACCCTGACATACTTACATCTAGACATACACCCTGACATACTTACATCCTGACATACTTACATCTAGACATATTCCCTGACATGCGCGCAGATATAAACCCGAAATGCAGAAAACACACTATCATGCAGACATATACCCTAACATGCAGACAAACATCCTAACACCCTGACATACACTCTGACATGTAGACATACATCCTAACATGCAAACATACACCCTAACATGCAGATATACACCATAACATGCAAACAAACACCTTAATAGGTATACAACCTATTAGGCAGACATAAGCCCTAACAGACAGACATATGTCATTACATGCATACATACACCCTAACAAAAAGACATGCAACCTTCCACACAGACATACACCATTACAGGCAGACATACACCCTGACATGCTAACATACACCCTAACAGGCAGACATACACAAATTGCAACTTCACGTTTACCTACTTTAAATTATTTTTTAATAAATATGTCAGTATGATGTATATTTGTACACAACTTATGTACGTGAGTATATCTAAAGGATTTTACAATGAAAGGGTGCGGTAAATACCCTACTCCATAACGGTTTCTAGAACCCGTATCTATCTATCGATGTCAAGACGGACACTCTAGCTTGTAAACTATCAATGCAAAACCAATGAGCACTATCTCTTAAGCTATCGATGTAAACCAGACACTAGCTTGTAACCATCAATGCCAAACCAATGGGCACGATCTTGTAAGCTATCGATGTCAACCAGACACTAGCTTGTAACTATCAATGCCAAACCAATGGGCACGATCACGTAAGCTATCGATGTCCTCTAGACACTAGCTCGTAACTATTAATGACAACCCAATGAGCACAATCTTGTAAGCTATCAATGTGTTCTAGACACTATAGCTCGTAACTATCAGTGCCCAACCAATTGGCACGATCTCGTAAGCTATTGATGTCCTCTAGACACTGGCTCATAACTATCAATGCCAAACCAATGGGCACGATCTTCAACTCATTCCTTTAGAACAAGGACACGATTAGTCCCTCGCAGTAATCGATGCAGAGTCTTTATATCAACTGAGTTTATTTCTTCATGTTAGATTAGAGTTAGGTCTTTACTGCGTAATTACAAGTTATCCGCTGTTATATATAATGTAGTTAAACAATCATAATATGCGTATGACGGAGTTATATATATCTACGTATCTAGTTAATCACAATACATGATTTACATATTCACTAATGAGCCCATCTAGCTATATCGACAAAGATACATATATAAGGATCCCCATAAAAATATAAAAACTAAAAAATATTTAAAAATATATAAAAACTGCCATAGGAAAATGACATAAGCAATCTTTTGTGTACTTGATGATGATTTAAAAGAATGGTTCCACCAGTAGCTTGAAATCAACTTAAAAAGTGAAATTTGTCTGTGTTCATTGCACAATTGCTGTGTTTCACGTTCATAGACTAAAGAATATTAAAAACCATAACTTGAGTCTTACAGTTGCCTTCCTGTTTCACACTTTTAATGGTCACACTAAATAATTCTGAATATTACCAAGCTCATGTAAAACATGAAAAAAAAGAGTAAATTTTTTATCATTATTGTTCAGGGTTTTGGCATCTTCCTGTTAAGTTTATCCTACCTATCCTACGGTATGAACGGACATGGACTACCCTTTATGAAAACCATGGGACGGATCTTGGAGTCAACTTCAGAGATCATGTTCATGCTTCTTATTATACTCCTTGCTAAAGGGTACACGGTCACAAGGTAGGATAATTGATATGATGACAATGTTGATGACGATGTAAATGTCGATGTAAATGTTGATGACGACGTCGATGACGATGTTGATGGCTAATGTCTATGATGATGTTGATGACGATGTTGATGACAATGTTGATGGTGATGTTGATGACAATGTTGATGACAACGTTAATGAGGATGTCGATAACAATGTTGATGAGGATGTCGATGACAATGTTGATGACAATGTTGATGACAATGTTGATGACAATGTTGATGACAATGTTGATGACGTTGATGACGATGTTGAGGACGATGCTACGACGATGTTGAGGACAATTTCGATGACAATGTTGATGACAATGTTGATGACAATGTTGATGACAATGTTGATGACAATGTTGATGACGATGTTGAGGACGATGCTACGACGATGTTGAGGACAATTTCAATGACGATGTCGATGACAATGTCGATGACAATGTCGATGACAATGTCGATGACAATGTTGTGACGATGTCGATGACAATGTTGATGACAATGTTGATGACGATGTTGATGACGATGTTGTGACGATGTCGATGACAATGTTGATGACAATATCGATGTCAATGATACTGCCGGACAGAATTTCAAAGATAATGTTGAGCATAAAATTACGATTGTAAATGAGTAATAATGTGGACAATTCAAAATGAACAGTCCCAACCAAAACTTAATTATAATTCCCATCCCATTTCTAATGACATTCTGATAGAATTTAATTATATTTAGAGCTCGATTACGACAATGGGCGTCCATCAAAGTAACAGTGTTCATATGCGCCTACATACTTTGCTACAAGGTAAAATTAATTTAAATTAAGTGGATTGTAATTTCAAGAGAACCTCTTTTCACAACAAATACCCATTGAACCTTTACCTTAACGATTATATAGAAGAAATTCGTCATTTAAATAGCTTGACAAATGTTTAATTTTGTAAATTTTCATAGAGAACCCACAATCCATTTTTAACAAAAGGATATCTCATTTATCTTGGACCAGGCAAAGCTTTCAAGGGTGCCGTTGTGAATTGGAAACGCAAACTTGAAATTAAGTTTGCAGTCCCTTTGGATATTATTTTAAATGAACTTTTTTAGGAGATTTCTCAAATTTTCGCTGATATTTTCTTGAACAAATTTTTAACTATGCAATAAACAAGATTTTGTTTAAATGAATATATAAAGTAGCATGCACTAAGAATTATAGGTTGCAAAAGTTTTTTTTTCTGGCCTCAAAACTAAAGGGATTGTTCCCGTGTTTGAATAAAAAAACATAAAATAAAAATGTTGAGAGGTAGAAACAAAACTATTCCAATCTTGCTTCTCAAATAAGTTTATACGTGATATTTCATATAAAGATAATCATAAAATCCAAAAAAACGAAAAATAAAAAAAATAGGATATTACACATATTTTCAAATATGATATGGAAAACCTAAACTGACTTGATTTAAACTATTATTTTGTCCACAAATAAGCTGAACAACTACTGGATCAAATAACATTTTATATTCGGTCTAAACATACCTAGAGTCTGTGTTTAGTTTAAGATCAGTGTTTGTCTCTATTGTAAACTGTCATGAACCATCAGATGGAAGTTCTAATATTAAAGTTTATAAACCCTCCCTGTCAGATACAATAACTATCATTTCCGAACCAAACTTAAACAATACTCTGCACTAGAGATGAGCACAATCGTTCGTTCATCGTTCTCACCGACCTTTTTCGTTTTTTTTCAATCGTTCAAAAAAATTACTTCTTTCATTCTCATAATTCTAGTTCATTTTTCATCTATTTCGTTCGTTTTCTGACTGAACGATCGTTTAGTCACAGGAAATAGTTTAACCGGGCAAATATATTTGCTGCATAGCGAAAATGTCGGGTACATAATTCTGGGCATGATATGTTCGTCAGTGGTTTGCCGGAGACTAAATGATGGTGGGGTAAAATTATTCATTCAATAAAATCGTTTATTCAGTAAAAAAATTATAGTTTTTTAAAAGTTTGTTTTAAAAAATCGTCCGTTTAATAATAAAACATTTTTTTTGCAAAATTTGTTTGTTCAGAAAATATTATCGTTTTTTCAAGTTCGTTCTAATGATTTTTTTTTCAATTTGTTTGTCCAGCTTTCGTTTTTTTCTGTACGACATCATTGTTCACAACAAATTTAGTTCGTTCTCAAAAATGTTGTTCGTTCACAAAAACGATGCCCATCTCTACTCCGCTGCACTAACATTGAGTACAACCTAGAGCTATGCCCATCTCTACTCCGCTGCACTAAACATTGAGTACAACCTAGAGCTATGTCCATATCTACACCGCTGCACAAAACATTGAGTACAACCTAGAGCTATGTCCATCTTTACTCCGCTGCACTAAACATTGAGTACAACCAAGAGCTATGTCCATCTCTACTCCGCTGCACTAAACATTGAGTACAACCTAAAGCTATGTCCATCTCTACTCCGCTGCACTAAACATTGAGTAAGACCTAGAGCTTTGCTCATCTCTACTCCGCACTAAACATTAAGTACAACCTAGAGCTATTGTTCAACCCATTGATCTATGGTGCAAACCTGAGGAGAACAGAATACAACCCTCAGAACTACATTTATATTTCCTTACTGTACACTGTACACTGTACATGAACGTAATGTATTATAAAGGAGTAGTATAGTGGTAGTGTGGGATAAGAAATCAGAGTTTGTTGCAAGAACTCAGTTCCTTTAAATATAATGTTGATTTTATTTTATTAAAACTGCTGAAAAGAATGTATGAAATTGGTATTAAGTTTTTAACTTTTCGATGAACACGTTCCTTTCCCTTAAAAGGGGAATATTTTTAATGGACAAGAACGAATGCTATATTTTCAGTAAAAAAAGATATTTTCTTCTTCAGTTCAGAACGTTTATATTTTTAGTTGAAAGAAAAGCTAATATTTTCTGTCAAATATGTTTACACTTTTTGCAAGAGAAAGATGTCGAAATAAGTGATATTTTTTAGTTAAAAAAAGTTCTGTTTTTGGTCTGTTATAAATATATGTATTTGTCAGTTATATTTTTGTCGTTATATTTTTTACAGCCTTTTGAACAACATTACCAACTTATGATTCCCCCAATAGAGGGAGGTCCCTTGGGACAGTTATGTAAAAATAATCACCCGCTCTGCAAAGTTTCCAGGAAAAAATTCGCGCATTTTGATCTCAGAAGACGGTAAAATTGTGTACTGCTACTTCGTCGGAAAATTAAAAATTTGACTTAACCCCGTCGACCAATTTTGTCTACAAATCATCCCTCGCTGCGCTCTGGATGTTTTGGTCAATATTAATTGACAGTGTAAAGCTTATTATCAGAAATTTTCTTTCCAATATTTCCCGTATTAATTTTCTTTTTCTTCTTGTTTCTTGTTTCTACATTTTGAGGCCTCTCCATATAGTTCTTGTGACATCGAGTTGTGGAGCGGGTAGGGAGAGATAAGAAGGTTTAGAGGAGGAAGGGTATGAGGGATTTTAGTAGAATATCTCTGCTTTCCTTTGTGTTAAAGTCTTTCCGACTAACCTGAATTTTAAGGAAACCCATAACTGCACCACTTATGCAAAATGGGGAGTTGAAAGCCTTAAAGCCCAATCAGGTGGAATCTTCCACAGCAGTTTAGTCCTCATAGCCGGCAGAGTAAAAAACCGGTATCATTGTGAATGGCTTGTATATCTATCAGGGGTTATACTTCTGTACTCCTTCACTCAGCTGAAATGTTAATGAGATAGAAAGCTGAAGATGAAGTTCTCGTTTACTGTTTAATTTCTATATTTTGCTCGCTACTCCCCTGTAGGATAAGCCATGAGTAACTCTACTTAGCACTCTTTCAAGCTGTGGAGCCTGGAGCTACTATGGGCAGGTCCGTGCCCTTCGAGAGCATGAAAGCAACAGACAACTGTATTTTACTGTATGGCCGGATAGAAAACTTTGTTTTAAGAATTCTTTGCTTTTTCAAAAGTGTTGGAGGAAATAAATCGCGAAACTTCTGTCAAACATCCAAGTGATTGATGCCTCAGATAATTCTAGGAATTTTTCATCAATTAATTGTTTTTTACTTTTCTTTTTCTTCTTTTGATCTTTAATTAGTGATGTTTTGGAGAAGGATTGTTTTTTCTTTAAAATAAGAGCAAAGTAAAACTCAATTCAAAACTCAATAAGCCTTCTGAGAAAATCGTTAGTTTAATGCTTGTTAAATGTCTTTCAATTAAGTTAAAATACTGCTTTGTAATCTTAATTTTTTTAAATCTTTATTCAACCCATTTTAGTGAATTTATAAGTTTTGTGATTTTGATTTCTTTTAGTGTATTTGATACTTTTTTGTGTTTTTAAAATAAATCGTGATATATATTTATTTTTGATAAATAAATGCGCTGTGTTCTAAATATACAAGATCGGTCAAAATATGTTCTTATTGATTTTTTCTATCCCTGTCAAACTATCAAGTTTACATTCTTGATTCAACGACGTTAATTTAATCAAGATTTTAAACTTGCGTGTTTAAACTTACTTAAATAGTTGGCAGCAAAGGGGAAATTGTAAAGTTAATATATGAAAACTAGGCTTTGAGGGCACTTTCGGGCGTCTTCTATTTCAATTTATAATTGTTGCTTTCGTATATTATAAAAAAATAAAAATTTCGCTAATTTTTTTTTTCGTGGATTTACAAAATTTTAGGAAATCGAAATTTGTTGGAGGCAAACTTTTTAAATTTTGACCATCCATAAACCTTCCCTGGAGTCCTGAAGATGTATAAAGGTCCTACACAAAATTTGGGCCCAATTAGTTTAAACCGTTTTGCCGTTAATTGAGTACAAAACAATTAAACAGACAAGCAAAGTATATACAAATCTTTAATTTTCCCATGGATTCAGAAAGAGACAATTTTTAATGCGGAATTCTAAAACTTTAAATGAAATGTTCATGAATGAAGTAAAACGAGAATAGATTTTGATGACTACTCAAAATGATTGCACTCCCTTGACTCTTTTACTATTAGTATTAAAATACACCTAGCGCGATGAATATAAAAATGCCGTTGGATTTAGAAGGGAGTAGCCAAAAATATAATTGTACCATCAGCTGTTTAATTTCTTTAGGCATCAATTTATGACTTGGTTCTGATTCAAAAATGATAAAAAAAAACTTTCAAAATAAGATTACTTTTTCAAAAAAAACGAGGTTTGGAGATTTTTTATCCGAGGAAATATACTCTAAAAACACAGGTTCAATTAAAGTACTGTACCAAATGTCCTGCAGGTAGACCAGGACGTAGACTGTACAGTATGTCTGCAAACTAGAGATGGCCTAACGGGACGATACACCAAATGAATCATTTCTTTCTAGTACGAGATTACTGTGCTGAGGATGTCCTTATTTTGTAGTTCTTTGGAAAGCCAAAGACCAAAAAATAGAAGAAAAAAAATTGCACAAATTTTTACGCAGGCGCTTTTAAAATAGATTTGTAGAGTTCGATTTTTTTCCTAAAAACTCCTTTCTTTAAAAAAACTGATTTTTTGGTATGCAACAATTTTCATTGAAACCTATAAATTATTTATAGCGCCGCGTTTGTCCATGTTAAAATCAACTCTTTACCAAGGAATTTACTCACTGAAAAAACTAGAATCAATGGAAATTAAATTTAATCCCTTTTTGCAGTGTGCAGATTATGTAATGTTTAGGCTGTATTTGTAGCTGAGCAGTTGTACTTTGATCCTGGGTCCGTTCTGTACCTGTATGAGAGTGTTTGGGGATATATTCTCGTCATTCTTAGGTAAAATATTCTCTATGTTCAAAGTAAACTCATTCAAGCACTGTACCGGCTTTTAAGACGCTAGAGCAAGCTGATCTGTGCCCCCCCTTTAGAAAACCTGCCCCCCCCCCCCTGCAAGAAGTCCTTAACATATAGTTTCAAAAATAGCTAATTTTCTCGAAAATTTGAAGAAAAAAATTTGCCCTCACAGTAATTTTTTAATTTTTATAAACCTGCACTCTTTAAGCAAACTCAAATTCAACTTTTCAATATAAGCTCAGATACTTTACACTTTTCCCCTTTCTTAAAAAATCCCCCAAATTTGGATTTTTTTTTGATTATACTCACACATTCGTATTCACATTGCTCCACCAGACTTAAATTTGACCCTTTATTCAACATTTTTAACTCTTGTTTTTTTTAGAATGCCACCAAATATTTTTAATTTGCACCCAAATTAAATTTTTTACAACCAACTTTAGAATTTAGAGCCCTATCTAAAAAAATGCCCCTTATTTTATTTATTTTATTGCTAAAAAACAGAAAATTAACCCTTAGTTTAAAAAAGATGCCCCTTTTATATATTTGAAAAATGCACTTAGACAAAAAAATTTGGCCCAAAATAAGGAATTCAGATTCCCCATACACAAAATTGACCAAACTGAAAAAGCCCCCCAAAAATAAAATTTGCCCCGAAAACAAATAATTAAGATTTACCCCAACTAAAAAAATTGCTCAGCGAAATAATTTGCCCCCCCCCCCCCAGCTGAATTTCTAGTTGTGCGCCTACCTTCTAGGGAGTTTATAGTGGCTTGAATAAAACTGATTTTTCGCTTCAAACTCTAATTTTCTTATTCCTATTTCTTTCATGCTTCAAATTTTCAATAATTTACGTCAGTAAATTTCTGTTGATTTTCTTTCGTTAATTATAATTATAAAATTTATATTAATTTATTTTATTTCAGGATTATCGGGTGGATTATGTTCATTTATTTCAGGATTATCGGGTGGATTATGTTCATTTATTTCAGGATTATCGGGTGGATAATGTTCATTTATTTTAGGATTATCGGGTGGATTATGTTCATTAATTTTAGGATTATCGGGTGGATTATGTTCATATATTCTACATTCTTCACCATTAAACATTACCCAGAGAAGGTAAGAAATAAAAACATAAATGAATAAAAGAAAGAAAGGAAAAAAAAAGAAAGAAAGGAAAAAAAAAGAAAGAAAAAAGAAAGAAAGAAGGAAAAAAGAGAAGAAAAAAAATAAAAAAGAAGAATAATTATGATTACCAAGAGTTACCCAACCGTCCGAAACTGGAAAAAACATAAAATATTCTTTAACCTTTATTTCAAACAAGAAAGATAAACATAAAATAATCCCTTATTTGGTTTGAAATATGTCAATATTAGTGTCTAATGTCTATGTCCAGGATTCATCCTCAAATATTTGCAGGGTTTCAAATATTAATATTTATTATCAATACCGAATGAATTCTGTTCTGTTTCTACACTCTTATATATTATATCTACAACTTATATACTGTATTTACACCCTAATATACTTTATCTTTACCATATATATATACAGTTTCTACACACTATATACTGTATGTATTGTACACCCTATCTACTGTATGTACAGTGTACACCCTATATACTGTGTCTACACCCTTATATAGTGTATCTGTACCCTTTATACAGTTTCTACACACTATATACCTTTACTACACCATTTATACTGTTTCTCCACCCAATATACTGTTTCTACACCCTAAAAACTGTTTCTACACCCTATATACTGTTTCTACATCCTATATACTGTTTCCACACCCTAAATACTGTTTCTACACCCTATATACTGTTTTTACACCCTATATACTGTTTCTACACCATTTATACTGTATCTACACCCTCATATACTGTATCTACACCCTATATACTGTATCTCTACACCCTATATACTGTATCTACACCCTATATACTGTATCTTTACCCTATATACAGTTTCTACAGACTATATACTGTATGTACACCCTATATACTGTACCTTTACCCTATATACAGTTTCTACAGACTATATACTTTATGTACACCCTATATACTGTTTCTACACCCTTATATACTGTATCTTTACCCTTTATACAGTTTTTAAAGACTATATACTGTATGTACACCCTATATACTGTTTTTACACCCTTATATACTGCATCTTTACCCTAAATACAGTTTCTACACCCTAAATACTGTTACTACACCATTTATACTGTTCTACACCCTATATACTGTTTCTACGTCTTTTATACTATTTCTACACCCTGTGGCCTGTATACTGTTTTTACACCCTATATACTGTTTCTACACCATATACACTGTCTCTACACCCTATATACTGTTTCTACACCCTTTATACTGTTTCCACGCCCTATATACTGTTTCTACAACCTTTATACTATTTCTACACCCTATATACTGTTTCTACACCCTATATACTGTTTATACACCCTATACACTGTTTCTACACCCTATATACTGTTTCTCCACCCTATGTACTGTTTCTACACCCTATATACTGTTTCAACACCCTATATAGTGTTTCTACACCCTATATAGTGTTTCTACACCCTATGCACTGTTTCTACACCCTATATACTGTTTCTACACCCTATGTACTGGTTCTACGCCCTGTATACTGTTTCTACACTCTATATACTGTTTCTACACCCTATGTACTGTTTCTACACCCTATAAACTGTTAATACAACCTATGTACTGGTTCTAAACCCTTTACACACAATCATGATATTACTATGTTTTTAGACAACGTAATTGTACAGTGAGAATCATAAAATTGTGGACTAGGAAGACGACATTAAAGCAATAATTAAGTGTATTTGATGTTTTATTAATATTTTTTTTATTCACTTATTAATTGAAATTGGTCTGTTCACACTGCACAATTGCTGTGTTTCAAGGTCATAGGACTGATTAAAGTCATAACTTGAGTATAAAAGTTGTCTTTCTTTTCCAAAGTATTATGGTTATCACTGTATATTGTGAAGTGTGAAAGGAGGATTATATCATCCTAAATTATCCATTTTTTCTACACCCTGTATTCCGAATCCTATTGAGGGAGGATTTTACTATCCATTTTTCTGTTTCTACACCCTGTAATCCGTATCCTATTTAGGGAGGATGTTATTGTCCATTTTTCTGTTTCTACACCCTGTAATCCGTGTACTATTTAGGGAGGATTTTACTATTCATTTTTCTGTTTCTACACCCTGTATTCCGAATCCTATTGAGGGAGGATTTTACTATCCATTTTTCTGTTTCTACACCCTGTAATCCGTATACTATTTAGGGAGGATGTTACTATCCATTTTTCTGTTTCTACACCCTGTAATCCGTGTACTATTTAGGGAGGATTTTACTATCCATTTTTCTGTTTCTACACCCTTTGGTTTGTATCTGGACCGATTATAATTGTTCTGGGGAACATGTATATTCCGAAGGTAAGAACTATTACATTTATAAAAACTATTTTTGGAGAAGCTAATTTGTAATTTTATAAATTAATGTGTTGACATGAGCCTGACATATATCTACATATTTTATCAAACTGAATTTTAAGAAATTTGATAATTCCGTTCTGACATTTAACGATTAACTGTACTAAATGCACTTCCTGCTTTTTTCGAACAAAAAAGAGAAAGTTCATATTGTTAAGGGACTGTACTGTAATTTCAATTGACCCTTGCATTTAAAAAAGGTTGCATGCCTAATACCCTTCGAGCAAGAGATGGTTGTTTTTCTACTAGAAGAGTTTTGAATTCTGAAAATGTCCTTCTTTTTCTATATCAATTTTAAAATAGAAGAATATGGATAACTCCATCTTCACAGACAAAGGTGTGAAATAAAAAATGTATCAATATATATTGAGAGTAACATGTATTTCAATTATGAGAAAACTACAGATTAAAAAGTAGCAAAAGAAAGAACGATGGAGATAATCATTTAACTATTTTATGGTCATAAATTTATAATTCAAATATTCTAGATTTTTATAAATTTATCGGGAACGCTCCCTTTAAGTTTTATTGAACTGTTTAGTGGGTGCGGGAGAAGGTAGTTTGTGGTGTAGAGCATGGAATATGCCTTCTAGGACATACTGTCTTCCTAATCCTAACTAGGTGATAATCCTAATACTACTCATCCTAATCCTAACCAGGTTATAATCCTAATACTACTCGTCCTAATCCTAACCAGGTTATAATCCTAATAATGCTCGTCTTTATCCTAACCAGGTTATAATCCTAATTCTACTCGTCCTAATCCTAACCAGGTGATAATCCTAATACTACTCGTCCTAATCCTAACCAGGTTATAATCCTAATACAGTCTTCCTAATCCTAACCAGGTTATAATTCTAATGCAATCCTCCTAATCCTAACCAGGTAATAATTCTAATATTATTCGTCCTGATCCTAACCAGGTCATAATCCTAATACTACTCGTCCTAATCCTAACCAGGTTATAATCCTAATACTACTCGTCCTAATCCTAACCAGTTATAATCCTAATACTACTCGTCCTTATACTAACCGGGTTATAATCCTAATACTACTCATCCTAATCCTAACCAATTATAATCCTAATACTACTCGTCCTAATCCTAACCAAGATATAATCCTAATACTACTCGTTTTAATCCTAACCAGGTTATAATCCTAATACTACTCGTCCTAATCCTAACCAGGTTATAATCCTAATAACACTCATCCTAATCCTAACCAGGTTATAATCCTAATACAGTCTTCCTAATCCTAACCAGGTTATAATTCTAATGCAATCCTCCTAATCCTAACCAGGTAATAATTCTAATATTATTCGTCCTGATCCTAACCAGGTTATAATCCTAATACTGTCTTCCTAATCCGAACCAGGTCATAATCCTAATACTAGCTTTCTAATTCTAACCATAATACTAACTTCCGAATCCTAGCCAGTTGAAAATCCAAATACTGGTTTCCTAATCCTAACCAGGTGATAATCCTAATTCTAGCCTCCTCATCTTAATAATTACTAAGCGTAATACTTGCCTAATGCTTTTCCTTATCCTATTCTCCTAAAATAATCCTAGAACAAACTTGCTCAAACTTTCCAGCAATTGCAAAACTGGATTCAGGTTTGCACACTTTTCTAGTCAATCAGAATACACAGTTGACTAACCAATAAACTTCATGTACATTGTACATTGTACATATATCAATTCAAGTACATAATACTTGTAACAATTCATGTACATTGCACGTGTATCAATTTATGTACATTAATCGATTCATGTGCATTGTACATGTACTAATTCATGTACAGTTAAAATGCATTGAACAATAACATGTATCAATTCTTTTTTTTTCTTTTATTCATAAACCTTCTAATAATTATTCTTTTAAGAATTCATATTTGAATAAATTATTCAGAATTAGACATAGGAATTTAGTTAAAAATAACATTTTTTCCTTTTAAATTATAATTTTGTCTATTTCTTTAGATTTGTTTTACATTACTGTTCAAATGTTTCAACATAAACTGAAGAAAAATTCTTTAACTCTTTTTTTCTAGTTGATCCAATCCTCCTGACTACTGTTAATACTGGGATATTGTACTAATCCGTTTATCTGAGTAAACTGTATAATTTGTAAATATTTCAGACCATCTGCTCATAACAAGAACTTTCCATATCATGTCAGAACAACGCAGGTTAAATAATAATGATAATCCTAGATTGGAATAATGGAAGCTCTCTCTGCAAATACAACAGTTGGAAATCATACTTTAGATGGATTTGGACATCATGGATATGCAGTAACTAACCCAAATATCAGGTTAGTTCATGGATATGCAGTAACTAACCCGAATATCGGGTTAGTTTATGTATACGCATAAATAACCCTAATATCAGGTTAGTTCCATAAATACGCAGTAACTAACCCGAATATTAGGTTAGTCCGTGGATAAGCAGTAACTAACCCGAATGTCAGATTAGTTCATGGAGATAAACAAAAATTAAAAATTATCAATTTTAAGTGAAAAACATGGATATCTCCTTCTTGATAACACCACACTTTTATGGGTAGTGATTTGAATCTTCATTAAACGTTACTAAAATGTTCCTTTTTACAGAAGCTATGACGTTTTTACCGTCGGACCTTCTGCTCAAAACTGGAGTCAGCCTGCCCCCTCCCGCCCTCTGCCACGTGTACCCGCCTCAACACCCGCCGCTGAAGAAATAGCTGTAAAGGAATCCCCGCCCCCGCCCTACTCAACCGCCGTATATGATCCTAACGCTACAGACGAACTTCAAGAGTGGGAGGAGAGAAATATCTAAACTTCAAATTCTCAATTAATCAATCAAATACTAATTAATTTGATAACGCTGTAATTAATCAGCTTTTTGATAAATTAAAATTAATTAACAAACTAATTGATCCTTCGTTATGTCAGCTAATCAATTTTAAATGCACTTTTTTTAATCAATCAGGTTTTAATTGATTAAAAATTTAAATTAATTAATTAAGTTATTATTTAAAAATTCAATGTTTCAATTAATTATAGTTTTTATCTAACAATCGATTAATTTTTAAGTTTAAATATAGCAATTAATTAAATATTAATTGTTTTTTTAAAAAAATGGACAATAAAATTTTTATAATAGAAACTTGAAACATTATCTGAAATTACTTATATCAAATAACGAAAATTGACATTGACAAAATAACATAATATCACATTCATTTCCATTATAATCTTGAACAAAATTCTCATAAATCAAAAACAATTAAAAAAGTTTAAATTTTTTAAAATTTAAACACATTATAATACCCAAGAAACTTACAATAAACAATTAATAAATAGTTTTACAATAAACAATACATTCATGTACAAAAAAAATGACCAACTAAATGTTATGCATATCACTGTGATCAAAAGGTCTCAAGTTCTTGAGCAAAAATTTGAGAATTTTGCCAATTATTTCTTTAAAACCAAAGTTAACAGCAAGTGATTTATAGTGGTAAAATGTACATGTAAAAAAAACAGAAAAGTATAAGTGAGTTAGAAAGGTAAAATTAAAGCCCCAAGGCGGTACGACAATTAGAAGTCGATCCTGTCTGAATCTATATTTATATATCATAAATGTAACTTTTTTGTAAACAGATTACAGATCTCTAATTGTAAAATATGTCTGTTCAATGTTTTAATTCATCTGCATTTTCAGTAACTGTAACCAAGGAGTACAAATGAGTACCCGTCTGGAAAGCATGTATAATCATATGGTAGGGCGGGCCACGTCAGTTGTATCTCCCTTCTTTTTCATACTCCTTGATTGTAATACAGGACTTTATTCTGTCTTATTTATCAAATTTTTTGTTCGTTGCAATATTTATTTCATTTCCTTGTTACATTAGAATACTGAATTTAATCTTTAAGACAGAGGAACAAAAGATTATCAAATACTTTTAGAGATAGAGGAACTGATTGTCAACGACTTTTTAGAGATAGAGGAACTGATTGTCAACGACTTTTTAGGAAGTTGAAAGAAAAGTCGTCTTCACAGTATCATATATCTCTAAAAGTCGTCTTCACAGTATCATATATCTCTAAAAGTTTCATTTACAAATCTTATCATTTTTCTTCGTACAATGCGCAACTTTTAAATTCTCAGCAGAAACAAATGAAGTCATAAAAAAGTAAAAAAAACGTCTTCCCTTTTCTTCGATCATAGGTTTAATTTTACAACATGAAGATAAGTGATTTATCTGTATCTTTTCATGCATTATTTTTGACTTTCAATCCAGGAGTCACGTCTTTTAATGCTTTTATTACGATACATTAATATGTAATATTCTATGTCTTTCAAGTTCCAAGAAAACATTTTTATCATGCAATACAAGTTTCGAGTCTTTTGCTGCAATACTTTTTGTCTTTTAAAACAAGAAATTCATTTGAATTTCTTTACTATGATTGTAATCACATTGTGCATTGTACAGCTTGCGTTTTAATTAATTCTTTTTGAAGACTTTTATAAACTATTATGAACTATGTTAGTTTAAGATATTGCAATAATGTAAATGTGATGTTCACACTGAATAAACACTATAAAATCAATTAAATTATTCATTCAGAGTTTAAAGTCTATGGTTTTCGAGGAAAAGTTGGTATTTTCTTGAACGTATGGCAGTCCCAGAATTATTAGTTTTATTGTTCAATCCATGCTTTCTTTATTCCATGTTTTATTAATTCCGTGACAGTAATGACAGTCCACGTATTCTGTAATCCCTTAATTTCCACGTGTTATTGAATCCCTGAAAGTCCATGTATTCTTGAATCCCTGGAAAATCCATGTATTCTTGAATCCCTGACAGTCCATGTATTCTTGAATCCCTGAAAGTCCATGTATTCTTGAATCCTGGAAAATCCATGTATTATTGAATCCTGGAAAATCCATGTATTGTTGAATCCCTGAAAGTCCATGGTATTCTTGAATTCCGGAAAGTCCATGTATTCTTGAATACGTTAGAGTCCATGTATTCTTGAATTCCGGAAAGTCCATGTATTTTTGAATCCTTAGGAGTCCATGTATTCTTAAATCCCGGTAAGTCCATGTATTTTTAAATGATTAGGATTGGATACTGTTTATGAGGACAAAACAATCCTTTAGATATGGTGGAGACAGATGCTTGTTTAGAAAAAGGTTGAAAGCTTGACAACCAGTCTAACCCGTCACATTCAGATACAACCAGACTCATCTGACAAGGAGAGAATTATAGAAACCATCGGATAATTAATATTATATTGTTGACCTTAAAAGTCAATATGATAAAATAAAAGAGATCTAAATGGATATTTCTAACATTTATTTAATAAAACGAAAGTTTTGAAATAGTTTCCCAAGTGTGGTTAAAATTGGTTGGTTAAAAATTAATAAAGAAACTATAAATTGACAAACACATCGAGATATTAGTAATAGAGGGGGCATCTGGAATTTTAGACTTCTTGTTGTACAGCTACTGTACACAATGACCCGATCAGAAATTCTACCTGGGACAATACCGTACAAATAGATGTACTTAGGATTAAACCCACTGTACTCTATGATACCAACTCAGTCATAAGGAAACATTTTTCGACAAAATTCACTGTACAGTATAAACCTAGCCAGGCAAAATTAGGAGAGTTATGCCCGCCCCCTGGACAAACATCAGTAGCAACTTCATGTGAGCTATGTAGAACTTCATGTTGGTAGTGCAGATCAACTAGAACTGTAACAACAGGTTTCTGCTCTCTCCAGGCTCTCGTAGGATATATAATCCCCAACAAAACTTCCAGGTTCGATTAGTAAACTCTTTAGAGTTGAGATTATCCTCATGTGGAGGAGCGTTAGAACTCTTGGAACATCTTGATGGGCTGGATGTAAGCATCGTCTGCTGCTGCTCAAGTATCTATATTAACAACATGCAGGAGCCAGGGTAGCTCCATGGAACTGAGTTGTGATCATCTCCAGTGTTTTCGGCTGACTGAATACCGGGAGGTGTAGAGGGGTGAGGAGCGAGGGTTTAATGTGTGGTGTGCTTCATTGCAGAAATGGATCCTGTGTATACACACATCTTGAGAATAAACATCGGCATTTGAGTCGGTACAATCGTCTTCCTAATATTTCGAATTTGTTTTAACATATATGTATATATTATTAAATTTCGCATTTAGGATTACTGAAAATAAATTGACACTTGTATTATCTATAAATATACTAAAAACCATTTTTAAAATACAAATCATGTGAGATTTTCTTAATCACTGACTTTCAATTGCTTGTATTATAAAAAATACAGAAATTCTCTAAACATTCTTTTTATAAAAGTCCAGAAGAGGAATGATGTCATGCATTTATTAGGACCAGCAACTATCAATATATCCGTCCTTTCTCTATATTTCAAAATCCAGCTCTTTTTTAATTCTCTTAAAAGATAATTTCTATCTTTTATTCTCAGGCGTCTCTCACGCATAAACTAAGAGTAAAAACACTAACTCTTCTTCCTACTTTGCAGGCTCTCAATCTATACTGCATTAGGGTTAACTCCTCTACAATAATAACAATGTATAACAGAGTTATGGCTAGAGAGGTGTACATTGAACTGAGCCCGCGATTTAAAAACTTCGGCTCGAGCCGTAATTCCTTAATCCCGACTTTAAGACCCAATCTTCGACCCAACTCTGACGACAGCTTGTGTCACGTGATTGAAAGCTTCAAGATCTTCGGCTCGACTTAAGGAGTTAGGCCCATTGAAAATAAAACCGACCTTGGTTGGTTTTAGTGGAGAATTAGGCTCGATGTTGCGTCTTGTTCTCATAAAACCTGGAATGCGCCAATTCCTACCATGAAAATTCGCCAAATAGAATATTAAACCGGTTTTTTGAACTCAACTCTCTAGAAAATAAGATGCAGCTTTAATCCGAATGCTCAAGCCGTAAATAAGGTCCAACGACAGCTTAGACCCGAGCCGTATTTTCCCGATTTTTTTAAATCGCGGGCTCTGATCGTTTACAGGTTATAAAAATCTATAAATAATATTACAGGGGATCTAGAGTTATCTCAGACTGATGCTTTTGTTTTAAATTATTTGTTTTGGGGAAAGAAAATCAGTTTTAGATGGGAATATATAATTACATATTAAAAATTGTCGTGACAGATTTTAAGTCCATCGAAATAAAATAGCAAGGGCGTATACAGGGGGGGGGGGTCAAGGGGGAAGTGCCCCCTAGACCTAAAAAGGGGCCCCCCTTTGAACTGTTTGCTGTTTTTTCTGCTAGTTTTGTTTAAAGGAGAGATAAAGTAGTACTTGCAAGGTAATTGGACTTTATATGTAACTTTAAAGTATCCAAGAAGCCCAATGTATTGAAATTACAGTTCTATGAGCTCCTGGGGGGGGGGGGGGAAATGTTGCCCTTCTCGCATATTTGGTCCCCCCCCCCTGGATTTATTTCTGTCTGCGCCCTTGTAAAATAGTTTTAAAAATATATATTAAGGAGTACAAGAATTCAAATATTATGTCAACCACAAAATTTTTGTTTTGCCAAATAAAAAAATAAATCTGATTGAAGATAACATTCAAACCTTTAAAAAATATTTATCTATAGCATTCTGCATTGTATTGAAAACTTATAAACTTTATCGACCAGAAGACGACATTTTAAAAACTTTTCAAACAATTCCTGTCGTAATGGATAAATTAACAAAATCAGTTGAGAACAAAGATATTAATTAAGATGAAAACGAAGTTTAATTACATGATTAGACGTTCATTTAAAAGAAGTAAATATGGAAAATTTTGTTAGAATTTAATTGCATGTATTTTTTAAAGGATCGAAAAGATAGCGAAAAACAACAAAATTGTTAATTTTTTATACGTTTTAGACATTTTGGTGGGAGATAAAGAATATTTAACCCTGTTTAAATTATGGGGATATCCCGGTAAACACCTACACTTCTTAGCTTTCCTTCCTAGTTTAGCCTATAGTTTATACATGTTTACACATACACATTTAAATCCTATATACAGATCTGCCTATATATACACATATCTGAAAAATCCCTTTACCAGATCAGAGTTCAGAGCTTTTTTTGTGAATCTTGGAAGATAGAAGTTTTGCTCACTAACTAATGATTAGATATAATTAATTTGTTGTTATTAGATAAATATTTTATTTGTAAAATCCTATTTTGTCAATGTTTTGTTTATTTTAATCTTCTAAAATATTTTAAAAAATCTCCCAAAAGCTTTTAACAAAAGACCGAAATAGTATTCTGAAGAATGCATTGCATGAAAAATAATGTTGATACAATAAAACTTCAAATATGTTTTGAATACTTCCTTTCTTTCTAATAAATATATATAAATATTAGATTAGATAGATCAACAGAGATAATTATATAAATTAGGTATATATTTATCGTATTTGAAAGAATAAAATGTCTCTGGGTCGGAGTAACAGCACTGGTGTACTGGCTGCAGGGAAACGAAGACCACGCCCACTCAAGATAGGAGGCGGGGTATCCAGACTCTCGGCTATAGAACTCTCATCTGTAGAAGATGTAATAGGTAACCTCTTTATCTGCAAATACAAAGAGTTTTATATATTTTGAAGAAAACTCTTAAAATAATAAAAAAAAAATAATAAAAAATAAAACTCGTGTGTTATTTCTCATTATTTGAATAGTTTTAGTTAAAAAATCACTTTTTAACGATAATTATATAATTGAATCTTTTAACAGTTTTAATGGAAAATATGGTTGGACAGCTTAACAATAGAAACTACGAGTATTTGGTTCTATCATCCCTTGCTAGGTTAGTATAATTACAAAACAGGATGGGAACATCGTGAAACAGGAGCATGTTGGTTGGAAACAGGATGGAATCTTTAGGTGAGCAACAGGAGTAAATAGGAGGCAAAAAGAATTTGGAGGTATAACACAGGTGGGAGCAGTGGGGAAACAGCAGAATTTAGGTGAGAAATAGGTGGAAATAGGTGGAAAAAGGCATTAGGAAGAAGAAAACAGGAGGTTAAAGTTGGGACATAGGAGAATTTAGGTGAAAAACAGGAGTAAAGAGGTGAAAAAAAGAATTGGGAGGTAAAAAACAGGAGAGAATAGTTCGGAGGTGAGAAACAGAAGTAAATAGGTGGCAAAAAGCGTTGGAGCAGAGATATTAGAGCGAGAAACAGGAGTAAGCTTGTGTTTAATACTTAGTGTAAACTAGAGGTACCGAGGGGAAACAGATAAAAGAATAATTCAGAACAATAAAATAATGTTACTTTTCAGACTGTGTGAAAGTCTGAAACAGTGCGGACCTCAGCTTGAAACCCTTTATCAGGTTAATTTGCTTGTAGTTTTGAATCCCTTAAATTGTCTGGAATTATTTATCCCAACACCATGAAATTGAGACAACTACAGTGCTAACCAGACAACTATGGAATAGGAAGTCTAATTTTAGACCCAAGATAAGACTTTAATTAATGAACATGAGGCACAGCATTTGTGCAGTGTAAAGTGACCCATTTCACTTAATAAGTGATTTAATAACTTACTAGTAAGACTATTTGCTTTGTAACAACATCAAATTCGCTTAAGTAATCAGTTTTGCTTTAATGTCGTCTTTCTATTCTATAGTTTTCTAGTTATCACTGTATGAAAGTTTTTCTTATCAAATTATTATTAGACAGCCTCGACTTTAAAATCGCAAAGGCTTGGGCTTTGGTTTTATCTCACCCCTATACTTATATTTTTTTGCAGCTCTTGGCAGACACATTCAAAAACTAATCACGTGATAACGGTCTTGTTTCTACCTTAAGTTTGAAAGGAGTAATTGGGAAAATACTGCTTGATATTTGCGTGAAAGCGTCCACATCTCTGTTTGCAGTGTAAAAGATAAATCTAAACTTTGCTATTGTGTCTCTATTTTAAACACTGCCCTGTCAATAAAACGCCTCCACACGGGTCTGGTTTCGGTTTAAGGAATTGGCTTAGCCACAAACTCAGATTTTCTAATCCCAATATCTTTGCAATCCAATGTCATATGTAATATTTAAAGCATGGTGTAATATTTAGAATATGACCAGATACTAAAACCCCTCAACCCTTTGTCTGAATCTAAGCTGAGTAGAGAACCAGGAGAATAGGAACAGTGCACTCCAGGACCTTATACAGGATAAACGTTTGAGCTTAGCTCCGTTAGACCAAATAAGGCCGGGAGACTCTTTCTTCTCCAGCTGGAACTATGAACAGAGTTACTGGGGCCTTGGAGCAGTTAAAGTGTTTATAGGACATGCGAAGCTCAATATTCTCAAGTTGGTTCTATTGACAGGGACACCCAAGATACAGAGCAGCCAGGACCTCTAGGACATATAGAAGCTCCATATTCTCGAGTTGGTTCTATTGACAGAGACACCTGAGATACAGAGCAGCCAGGACCTCTAGGACATATAGAAGCTTCATATTCTTGAGCTGGTTCTTGCGACAGAGACACCCGAGATAACGAGCAGATAGAATACCAATTAGACCAATGACTCCAAGTGAAAAAAAGATCATGAGAATCTACTTGGACGGGATGAAATGAGTGAGAAACCAGGAGGTCTACAGATAAAAGGATCTGGTATCAGAGATGGAAGAAGCTGTTCGTTGCAGACAGCTCTCCATCCCCCCGTTGTAGAAGCAGCAGAACCAGATGATTCTGAGTACATAGGAGAACTAGGGTATCCAGGACACATAGGAAAACTAGGATATCCATGACACATGGGAGAACTAGGATATCCAGGATTCCCAAGAACGGAGACGCCGCTCATTAGGGAACAGCTCTTGAGTACGGAGACGCCACTTATTGTGGAACAGCTCTTCACGGACCTGTAGTGGAACCAGCAGCAGAACCAGAGGATCCTGGGATAGGAGACCCTGCTCTTTACAGACAGCTCTTTACAGATCTATTGTAGAAACAGTTGAGGAACGAGAGATCTTGATGCAGGAGACGCTGCTCCTTACAAACCTCTTCACGGCCAGTTGCCTGTCCAGCAATGAAGCAGCTAGGATAGCTGTAGCAGCATCTCAGATTGCAGGAGCAGCAAAATTAGCGGAGACTCCGGAACAATCACAGTAGCAGTTAGGTGTACAGTAGAAGCAGCAAATGAACGAGCAGTGATTAGGAAGCTGTTGTTGAGAGATTACAAAGAACAGATATTGAAGTGGAGCAACTGAGCAAGATATTGAGTTGAGGAAGCTTCTCAGATAGATGCATAACTGGAGCATCTCATAGTGCCAGACTCTATGAACAGCTCTGGGAGCATCTCAGATTATAAGGACAGCTAACAAAGCAGAGACTCTAGGAACAGCTCCAGGAGCAGCTCAGACTGTAAGTACGGGTAACATAGTAAAACTCTAGGGACGGCTTCGGGAGCAGTTCGGATTGCAAGTATAGCTAACACAGCAGAGACTCTAGAAACCGCTCAGATTGTAAGAACAGCCAACATAAGAGGGACTCGAGGAGCGGCTCCAGTAGTTAAAGAAGCAGCTGAGGACACAGTAAGAGTATCCCAGATTGTAGGAGCAGCCAGAGTAGCATAGACTCCATAGCAGCTAGGAAGATTGTGGAAGCCCGGAGAGACCCGAGCTGAACGAGATAGTGTAGTTGAGGAAGCTGCTCAGACAGATCTTGAACTGGAGCAGCTGAAGATCTAAAGGAACTCAATAAACCTTACAGATGTATCTATTAAATAAACTATGAAACTGATCAATCACAATTCATTTATACTCTGTGAGATATGTATAAAAAGGCTGTTCAAGGGATCGATATTAAAACGAGAGTACGGGTATCTCGAGCGAAATATTTGCATAAGTCTAAACCATGGGTGCAAATGATTGATCTCGAAAATCCCTAGGATTTACATCTGGTATTTGATACAACACATTAATTGACCTTAGATCTTTCAAATTATGAATATTATTATAACAAATAATCTAAGTTTGAAATAGCAGAGATTTACACCTTCAGGTTGAAAAGATATAGGGATTAAAAAATTCGAGTTTGTGGCAAAGACTCATTTCCACAGGAACTTATTCATTCCATGTGGTACGTCTGTACAACAAACTTGCATATACATAGTTGGGACATTTCATAGTAAGACATTTCATAGGCAAATTCGATATTTTTATTTTATTTTTTTGGTTTTAAATAATCTAAAATTTACCGACACTGTTGTTGCCAGGATCAGTTGGATAAACTCGGTATAGCGGTCAGAGATGCTTGCAGGTAGACGTGGCGTACAGTGAAACAAAATTCTTTTTTGTTTTTACAAAATTCGAATAAAAAACATTCCACGGGCAAACAAAAACTTTAAATTTAATTATTTAGTCAAACTTTTCCAAGGTTCAGTATTCTAATAAATAAACAAAACTTGATAAAAAATATGCGTAAATACCAACGCAAAATTAAAATATGCGTAAATACAAAACTTAAATACAAAATATTCGTAAATATGTCAAATTTAATCTAATCTAGAGACGGAGATTTAGATTTGATGAGCAGAGTTCAACTCCTGGAGATCATTGAACTCAGGAACATATATCAAATTTACAACAAAAAAACTTTACACTTTGTTGTAGTTAGTTTTACGTAACCCATTAAGAAATACTGCGTAAAGTGCAATTACCAATAAAACCTGAATATTTTTCGGAATCCTTTTTTTTAAAGGGTTCGAATGCCTTACAAGATTTTTATTTGCTATATCTTTTAAATGATGTCATATCAGATTTACAAATTACAGAATCCGTAGGGGCGTTTCTGATTAAAAGTAGGAAAAGAATGATTTTATTGTCTTGTATGTAATAAAATGTGTCAAAGCCAACACTGAACAATACATCTATTTAAACATGTACTGCAGAGCTATGAACTGGGTACACAATGAAAACACCTCCGCTTACTTCAGGTAGGGTCCAGTACCAAAGTACAACATTGTATATAAAAAACGGTATAGTACTGTACTGTAAACTATACGGTACACTGTATCACTCCATTTCGAGTTTCGACTTATAGGGTTGAGACTACAGAGTGCAGAGAAGTCTTTACAGAATATTTAGGTCTAGTTTCTTACAATTTAGTTTCTTACAATCTAGTTTCTCACAATCTAGTTTCTTGCAGCTGGTTCTTCTCAGCAAAATTATTAAGTAACAAGACTAAAAAGGCAGTTTAAACTCCTTGCGGGATGATTTATTTCTCTTTAAGGAAGTTTACTGTGGTTAAAATCCATAGATAAGAAAGGAACAGTTCAGTTCTAAAGCATTATAATGGGTTCTCGCCTTTTTAAATAAGAAATTCTTTTACCCGGCGGAAATACAGTGTGGGAATTGGAGTTTTTGCCTCAAAATCAAATTTTCTAATATATAATATATCTATTCAACCTCATGGTGTAAACCTTTAATATTTTAACAGAATTTACAGTTTGAAATATATAATGACAAAACTTCAATCCCAATAACCAATTAATCAACATTATTATTATGGTTTTCAGCTCTGAATGTTTCCCAGCAAACTTTGACTTTCGAACACAATTTGACATACATACATTTTTTTGCCTTTTCTTTTGCATACTTTTTTGTCAGCAAATACCTTTTAGATAAAAAAGTAAAAAAAGACAACTCCGTAAGTTTAAAGATTGCTAAATTATAAACCAAAACGTGATTGAATTGAAAAGAGGAAACTGAATGTATCTCGTCCTGGTGAGTCCGGTGTGTAACCCTGTATATTAATTTAGGCAGAAATTCTCGCAGATAGAACAGGATACAGGGATGAGTCCAATGATAGAACTCAGATCAGCACAGACAGCACCAATAAGGAATCATCTCACAACAATAATACTTCAATGTTTTGTCACAATTGAAAAGGAACTGAGTTCTGATCCTTAGATATCTTTTCAGCTTAATGTTGTCAATCTTTTACATTTCAAACTTTGAATTCTTATAGATCAAATATTCTAAGTTTGAAATATCAAAGGTTTACAACATCAGAGGCCGAATTTAAAGAATTTGAGCCGCGGCTCAAATATGGTTGATTCCAGTTAAAATTGTATTCAATGTTTCAAGATCTAAGCCGACGCTCAATTGAAACTGGTTTTTGGTGGATTTGAAAAATTCATAAAATTCGGATTCTGGCATATCATTATCATATATCATTAACATCAAAAAGTTACTACAATTAAAATTCCATTTCTACCTAAAGTTAGATGATTTTTCTTCTATTTTTGCAAAATAAACTAGCATTTTGATGATGATTTTTGATAACAGTTTGAACGCGAATGCTCCGGATTTTAATCCAACCCTCTCCGGAGTTATTCTTCTTAAACCCGGAGAAATTATAACAACGTCTGGCAGGAAGAAAACCAAACCTTGACCTTGTTTTTATCCATGCTTATCATAACAAGAATTCGACCATCAGTGGAATGATTTTCGTCCTCCTTGTTTCCTTTAATTATAAATGAATGATTGTCGTCCTCCTTGTTTTCTTTAATTGTAAACTAGTTAATACACAATCACAACTTTCCAATTTCCTGGTTTTTTCTTCAATTGTAAAATTTAGCTAGTCATTTCATAGTTTTGTGATTAGAAGGAAACTTTTCAGAACAGTGAAACAGATTTTATCAGAAGACTTCATAGCTTAAGAATATCTACCAGTTTAAATCAATACATTTTAAACATAATGTTAAATATGGAAAAAAAGATTATTAGTTCAATGTAAAAATTTATTCCAAAGATTGTAGATTTTATAACAAAGAATCCAATCAATCCTTTTATCGCTGCAACCTGATGTCTTAAACCTTTCATATTTCAAGCTGAATTCTGCTAAATTAACTAGTATCAATTATCTAAGATATACAGTAGAAGATTGCAAAGATAGATATAGAGATTGGAAAACTTTAGTTTTTGACAGGTGTTCAATTTCTTTAAGATTGAGAACAATTTTGATTTAATAATTAAAGGTCGAATTGTTTTTTTAAAGGTTTATTCAGCCTACAAAAATACCCGGGAAAACATACTTTAAAGATGAAATAGTGATTAGGTAAGTTTTTCAACATTTTATTAAGTAGTTTAACTCTTTATAAACTCTGCGATTTCAAACATAAAAGTTGCACCTTAAAAAAGCAAATTATGTCAACGACGATTTAAAGATATTTTTCGATTTGCACACTGCAGCGCACAGCCTACATTTTTAAGTGTAAATCAGGTAAAACTAGAATTTTCAAAAATGATTCATTTGATTTATATTTGTTCATGCTGTACTAAGTCAACCTAACCTTAACCTTATCTTTACAAAAATAAAGTAAAATTAGCCTATTTTGAATTAAATAATATTGAAAATTTGAATGTTCTGCAAGAATTTGATACTCAAACTTTGACGTTCTTGTAATCTGGTCCGGGATTACAAATTGATCCACTTTTTGGGGAATTTCTATGCTTCCTACAGTACTGTATCTACCCTGTTTTAGAAATGCTGACTCCGGTAAGGTGATGGGACTGAAGGGAAGACGGGTTCATCTAATAGAAGAGATAACAGAGACAATTATTTCCTTCCAGAGGGTAGTTCCTGGAGCTAAGGAGAGATTAGTTCAGATAACAGGTAGTTCATGGAGCTAAGGAGAGATTAGTTCAGATAACAGGTAGTTCCTGGAGCTAAGGCGAGATTAGTTCAGATAACAGGTATTCCTGGAGTTAAGGAGAGATTAGTTCAGATAACAGGTATTCCTGGAGTTAAGGAGAGATTAGTTCAGATAACAGGTAGTTCCTGGAGCTAAGGCGAGATTAGTTCAGATAACAGGTAGTTCATAGAGATAAGGAGAGATTAGTTCGGATAACAGGTAGTTCATAGAGATAAGGAGAGATTAGTTCGGATAACAGGTAGTTTCTGGAGCTAAGGAGAGATTAGTTCAGATAACAGGTAGTTTCTAGAGCTCAGAAGAGATCAGTTCAGATAACAGGTGTTCGTGTAGACTAGGAGAGATTAGTTCAGATAACAAGTAGTTCCTGGAGACTAGGAGAGATAAGTTCAGATAACAGGTAGTTCCTGGAGACTAGGAGAGATTAGCTCAGATAACAAATAGTTCCTGGAGTTAAGAAGAGATTAGTTCAGATAACAGGTAGGTTATGAAGGAAGAAACCACAAATAAATATTCTAATTGTCTAGGTCCAGCACCTGATAATATTCTTCAAGCTAAACGGCTGATTGAAGATACAATAAGGTAAGTTTTCAATACAGGTTTATTTAGATCTAGCTTGGTAACCCATCACTGCCCAGGTTACTAAACATTTCTCCCGCTGCTTACCCGCACGTAAACGATTTTACTGGGATACTAAATTTTCGCTATTAAAGTCGACCCACTAAACTTAGAATCTCAAAACCAAGATAAGAACATTCCCGTGGATATCTAGAGTTTCCCAATCAAAGTTTAAGGCAAAAAAGCACAGGGGTTCCTGAGTCATGATCGGAAAAACAATCAAACAGACAGACAAACATAGATTACAACTTATAAAGATACTAAAACAACATTGTTTATCATAATTCTTCAAGCAAATGTAGATATTGCTGAGATATATGAATACTGTTTTTTCTAGGAGAAACCAGAGTCCTGGCAGAGAGGATGGAGCAGAGAGTCCTCAGGATATCAGTCCTTCAGATGACTCCAGGTAGGTCGATTGGGCAGAGGATGGAGCAGAGAGTCCTCAGGATATCAGTCCTTCAGATGACTCCAGGTAGGTCGATTGGGCAGAGGATGGAGCAGAGATTCCTCAGGATATCAGTCCTTCAGATGACTCCAGGTAGGTCGATTGGGTAGAGGATGGAGTAGAGAGTCCTCAGGATATCAGTCCTTCAGATGACTCCAGGTAGGTCGATTGGGTAGAGGATGGAGCAGAGAGTCCTCAGGATATCAGTCCTTCAGATGACTCCAGGTAGGTAGATGGATAGAGGATTGAGTAGAAGATCCAACTAGGTGGGAGGGTAGAGGATAAAGTAGAGAGTTCTCAGGATATCACTTCTTCAGATGGATCCAGGTAGGTGGATGGGTAGAGGATAAATTAGAGAGTTCTCAGGATATCACTTCTTCAGATGGATCCAGGTAGGTGGATGCGTCGAGGATGGAAAAGAAATCTCAGGATATCAGTTCTTCAGATGGATCCAGGTAGATGGATGGGTAGATATCTCAGGATATCAGTCATACAAACAGATCCAGGTAAGTGGATGGAGTAGAGGATGGAGTGTATACTGTATATGATTCCAGGAAGGGAAAACAGCACAAGAAAGAGCAGGAAGACGAAAGAAAGCAAAAAATGATCTTGTTAATTAATGCATGCAATAATTAATTGGTCATATTTAGTTATAGTTAGTTCAACATTCCGTACCAAGTTTAACTACTTTTCAATGTATTAATTCTTAATTCTGTAGAAGGAACACCTTAACTGCAGAACAGAGGGACAGGAACTCCGTATCCATCACAGAATACAAGTACACAGTTAATATAGGAGACAATCATATTAAGATTACAGGTCAGCTATATATAATTTTAGCTTGGGAACCCAACGCTGCCAACTGCCAAGGTTACTATAAAAGTTATTTCCCCCGTCTACCCGCACTTAAACAATTTTACCGTTAAACTAAATTTTCGATATTAAAGTCGACCCAATCTACTTATAATCTAAAAAGCAAGCTAAGAACATTCAAGTGGGCCTCCCGAGTTCCACAATAGAAATTTGAGGCAAAGCGGTCCAGTGGTTCCTGAGTTATGATCGGATTAACAAACAAAAAAACAAACAGAGATTAGTGCAACGTTATATATATCGATGCATACGTCCTCAATATGCATGTGAAGAAAATAAAATACTGTCAAGTACAATTTTTTCCATGTTTTTCCGAGATCCAGATATCCTGTTGTTATTTTAAAATCTTTTTTTGGTCCCGGTTATTTTTTAAGAAAAGTGAAATAATATTAATTGCTTGATTTTTGAATTTGATATATACAAAAGATTCAAAAATGTTTTTAATGAAAAGGCAGATTTGTTTAGATATTTTACTAACAATTACTATTTAAAGGGACGGAACTTTTAAACAAATTTTGAAGTCATAATCAATCCAGAGCTGAAAACTTTAGAATGGGATACCCTTAATCCCGATATAGGTTAATTTATCTGGAGATTAATAACAAGAGGACAACGAGCATTATTTAATCTCGAGATTAAGAAAAAGAATAGTTCAAGCATTATAATCCCGATATCCATCATTCAAAAGTTCCCAGCTCTGAACAAATATATGTGTGTCTATAAAAGGATCCTCGGATCTATGTGTGAAAATTGCTAAACTCGTCCGGGGATAATAATATAAATATGTTATAAATTCGTTGGTATACGAGGATCCCTGGACCTGGTGAAGACTTCTAAACTCGTCCTGGACGATTGTATAAATATGTAATAAATATAAAATTGTTTAGGAGGATCCATGGACCTGGTGAAGACTTCTAAACTCGTCCTGGACGATAATATAGATATTTATAAATATATAATTGTTTAGGAGGCTCCCTGTAATCTCGTCCTGGACGATTATATAGATATTTATAAATATATAATTGTTTATGAGGATCCCTGGACCTGGTGAAGACTTCTAAACTCGTCCTGAACGATTATATAAATATGTTAAAAATATATAATTATTTAGGAGGATCCCTGGACCTGGTGAAGTCTTTTAAACTCGTCCTGAACGATTATATAAATATGTTATAAATACATTATTGTTTAAGAGGATCCCTGGACCTGGTGAAGACTTCTAAACTCGTCCTGGACGATTATATAAATATGTTATAAATGTATAATTGTTTTGGAGGATCCCTGGACCTGGTGGAGTCTTCTAAACTCGTCCTGGACGATTATATACATATGTTATTAATATATAATTGTTTATGAGGATCCCTGGACCTGGTTAAGTCTTCTAAACTCGTCCTGGACGATTATGTAAATATGCTATAAATATATAATTGTTTATGAGGATCCCTGGACCTGGTGAAGTCTTCTAAACTCGTCCTGGACGATTATATACATATGTTATAAATATATAATTGTTTAGGAGGATCCCTGGACCTAGTGAGGACTGCTAAACTCGTCCTGGACGAATATTTTTCGCTCTCCTCTAGTCCTCTTACAGCAGAAACCAATGTAATAAATTCATAATATTCAAAGAATTTTGAATTATTTTTTGTCTATGACTTTAATTGAGTTTACCTTTATTTGCATCCAAATCTAACCGGATATATACGCTGGTAGGCAAAAATATCAATACAATTAACGACGACTTTCTAATTAGTATGTGCATCCAAATCTCTTTTCATGACAACAAAAATTTAAATTTCTTTATTTTTTATACCATCATATTCAAAATTCTAAAACAATTTTTTTAAACAAAATAATATGTTTCCTTTATATTAATAGTGTTCCTTTAATTCTTTTCCATTTTAATTAATTGAATTGGGAAACAGCACTCTGTTAAAAAATTATGCTGTTTAATTTAGGTTTATTTTTTAATCATTATAATTAATTGTTTAGAACATTTAAATAGCATTTTAATATTAATCTTACTTTATTCTTTAATATGTTTAGATAGATGATATTATACTACCCGGATATAAACCTAATGCAACCCTCTCATCACATCCTTTACATCAATACTCATCCCATCCTCTCTCATCCAACCCTCTCCACAATTTCTCCAACAAATCTTCTCATCATTTCTCATCCAACCCTCCCCCTCTCTACTCATCCAAGTCCTCCTCTCATCTAATCCAGGAATCTGCTTTTTCCACTATTGCAAGGCCTAAGAAGGTGAAACCAAAATTGAATTATAAGATTTACTAACATTAATTGTTTTTTATTTCTAAAGCCTCAGGGACAAATTGTGTCCAAACAAAATGTCCCACTTAAATGCATTTGAAATCCATCAATAAAAACTGCAAATCTGTTAAAAAATAAATCACTAAAAATGTTGGAAAAAGATATTTTCTAGAAAAAACAATGATTGTTTGTAAAATAAAACAATAAACAGTGTTACTCACAAAGGATGAGACGACTGTACAGAATTTATACCGACTGTTTCCTTAGATTCAGGATTCCCCGTAACTGTGTCTACAAAAAATTCAGCCCATTCTGTCCAGCCGTTTGGCCGGCTATAGGCAACATTTATATGAATGTCTTGTTTTATTATATAGATACTTCATATTAAATATGTATCGTATATAAAACATATCAAATTAAAGACAATGTAGACAAAACTAGAAAAATTATATTTTTCGAATCCTTAGTCTGCTGGTCGTGCCCCTGAACCAGAGAAAAGATTGGTGTATTCGCGCGAAGGAATTTACAGATTCATGCTCATATCGACATATTTTATACATTGGATTAAAAAACTGGAGGGACCTCCGATTTACACCCCCTCCCCCTTCCTTCCATTCCCTTCCATCCTTTCCACTTTAAAACTAAAGCAAAAAATGTCTAACCCCCCCCCCCCCGTAACAATAAAATTCTGCATTTATTCAATTATTTCTAAAAACCCAATATTTTAAATCTAATTCAAATTTAAATGCATGAAAACGTCATCTTATATAATATCTGAACTGTATCCCTGCAGAACTGCTGAAATACTCACTGAGTAAGTTCTCCTCCGTGATACCTGAGAAGTTCTCCGTCCTTGACCAGGTTCAGGAACCGGAACAGAGAATTATCCTAAAACTTAGAACTCAGAAGTTCAACGGTATCAAGTATCTGAATGATGGTTCGAAGATATTCCAGGTGGATTATGTTCGTTCTTATCCGGTAGAATTCGAGGATCTACTATAAGATAGAGATATCTTTAAAAATGTATAAATTTTGCCATAAAAATAAATTTTTTTGATATTTTTCTGTAAACTTGTTAAAAGTGAATGCCTTACAGATAATTAACTTCTAATGCAATTTTTTCATTTAAATATTTCTTTTGATGAAGTCGGAGTTATTCAGTTTAAATAAATAAGTAGAAAATAACCTAAAAGATCATTTAATATTTTCTGTCGGCTTGGTTTTTGAAAAATTCGTTGATTTGTTAAAAAAAGAAAATGCCTAAAATTAACGCTTAAAATTAAATCATTTAAAGAGAGTCGTTGCAATACAAAATGGTATCGAATGTTTAGGCTGATAAAACACAATCAAATTATAACCATAGATAAAGATAGATTGCGCATAAGACGACATTTTTCATCTTGAAAGATATAAATGTACAGAGATGTTTTAAAGATATTCCTATTGTATAGATTAACTAGGTCGGTTGTTAACATTGGCTGTTTTTATGTCATTGAGTACTTGTGGTGTACATGAGTTCTGTAGAGAGAAATTTAAGTTAGTTTAGTCCTTCTCATGTCCTTTTTCAGTTCTCGTCAATATGATATATTGCTCAGTGAAATATTGTTGTTCAAATAGCTCCATTCCTGGAGTTATTTTACACTCTATTATGAAATCCATTAAAAAACCAAAACACCCCGCTTATCATTGAAGTACACTTTGACCCCTAGAAGTATGAGTTCGCGGACTGTAGAATTCTTGGTGATTTTGCGTACATAAGCTATCTATGTTTATTTATTTATCTATGATTATAACTCGAACGTTTCATTATTATTTTAATTCGATGTCTTCAAAAAAAATTTCCAGAGAAAACTACTTTCTTGAAGTCGGTGCTTTTTAGGCGCCATTGGGTTTATATGGAATTTTTAAAGTAATTTTACTAAATTGAATTTTTCATATTTATATTTATAATCTTATTCGTGGATTTCTTTCTTGATGAGAAAGAAGACAGTGACCCCTGAAATGGATGGTAAACATAGTTTCAAGTGACCCTGCAAAGATGGAATTTGCAGCTTCTCTGCGAAAATGACTTGCGCATTTCTTGCTTATAAGAAGCAACGGAGAAAATAACAAAATTATAACACCTTTCGAGTCAGAAACTGTACGGTGTCTGCCTGCACATTTTTGTTCAGATAAAGGTTTCAAGAATAGCGTTGTAAATCAGACGTTGCAATCTCTGGTAACTTTAAAATACGCTTACAGTCCCTTTAAGAATACAATTGTTGGACCTAAACTGACATTAATACATTTACCAGTTACATCCATTTCTCTTTAGATATAAATAAAACAGTGGGTTATCCATAAATGATGGCACTTCAGAGACGACTGTACAGAGTTTTACCAGCCTTTTTAACAAATTGATGGTTCCCTGCGGCTTTTCACTGTTAGCATTCTTTGCCAAATCAAAAACCATACTTAGAATTGATAAAAAAATATCAATCAGATCTCCAGGTTTAATAAGAGTTAATTCTTGATAGGAATTTGTTTACAATAAAATCTAAATCACACCTTAAAAGCAAGTATTTAAGAATTTTAGAAACATGTGATCGGCTCAACTTTTAACTAAACTTTTAACAATTCTTTACATAAGAAACTTTTAAAGAAAGAGCGCAACTGTTCAGGATGCAATACTAAAGGGAGACTTTACAGAGACGTCTTACTATACAGAGCTTCCCATATCATATTACATTATCTCCAAGCTTTAACGCCAAAATAAATCTATGATACTCAAAAAAACCTAGTATTTTCCACAAGAAAATTCTTATATTAACCTTATTCAATTTTTCAAAATGTTTCATTCTTCTTAAATTTTCGGATTAGTCCCGAAAATCGTAATTTAGACCGATACACGATCTAATATGATGTTGGACTTAGGTTGCCAAACCTATAGGCTATACACAGTTTAATCTAAAAAAACACTTGCATTTTTCAGAGCCTTCGATGAAGATTTCCAAAATACAAAGCGCGCTGGTTTCAGAATTCAGACTTAATTTTTGACAACAAAATCCTAAATCGATTTTCGCATTCGACTGCAGAGTGCAGATTATGTCATCCAAAAAGGGTTACAAAATAATTTTAGTCATCGCAAAAATTAAGATTGGTGCTTTAAAATAGAAATATTTGATCTTAGTTCAAGCTTGATCATCGCTGCAGACGCTATAAAAAAACTTTTGAAAAACGATCAAAAACCTATCTAGTATTAATTAATAACAATTCAACCAAAAAAAATAGGAAAAAGCAATTTACAATAAAAACAAATTTATTTTACATAAATATCTATAGATTACATTGAGTTGGCGTTAATAATGAGATTATGCATATTGTGCAATGTGCATAGCTGACTAGAACAGTTACATAACCACGTTTCAGGCAAGTGCATGGTAAACGTTGAACAATAAATTTTTGGTTTGAGAATTTTTTCAATTACTTCTTTCCTCCTTTCTTAGCCTTAGCTTCGGGTTTCGCAGCCTCCTAAAGCAAAACGTATATCATTTATATATTAAAAGTGGTAGTCTCTGTTTTTACTGTCTGCTTAGACATAACTTATCGACACCTGGACCTATTTGCCTCAGCTTCGATTGGCCATAAGAGGTTTCATTAAACGTAAAATCAAACATAATTTCAAGTGACCTCCATTGATTAAACTTTAAAGGGTATTGCTGTAAATCGGACATGCCCCCCTTTGAAGAAAAAAATAGTGAGTCACTTAAAATTGTGACAGTGAAACACGGGTGCAAATATTAATCACGATTATTGAGGAAGTACAATTGACAACGCACAGTGGGACCTATACAATTCGGAATAGGGAGACGACTGTTATGACTCAAGTCATGATATTTTTAATTTAATAAATACCGCAATTGTGCAGTGTACACAGACCAATTTCGCTTCAATAGACGATTTTCAATCTGCTGGTGAAACAATTTGATTTTTAACATCATACGCAGAAAAGATTGCTAAAATGTCGTCTATCTATTCCACAGTTTAATGGGTCTCAACTGTTCATTCATACGTTTGCAGCTTTATATAAAAAAGACCCTCTTAAAATAATGTGTGACCCCTAAATTAATATTTATTAATATACAAGAATGGTCAAAATTTGAGGATAACATCATCATAGGAATGTAAACATTTAATTGTATCTTACATTTAACATTTAAACATTTCATGGTTAAGCCATCGTCAAAATAATTTTAAATGTGAAGACGACACCTAGATTTAACCATCTGCACGCAGACAAGGCTCCCGTTTGGGGAAGGAGCATCTAAAAACTGCAGAAGATTGAATTCTGTAATACTCAAAAACGCCAGAACTTAAAACCGTTAATGATACTACGTGGTAAATCATTTGTACAAAATGTTTACCTTTGGTTTTTTATCCTCAACCTTGGCCTCCTTTCCAGCCTCTTTCTCTCCTCCTTTCTTAGGAGCAGCAGACTTCTTGTCCTTTGGCATTTTTATATCAAAGGGATTTAATCTGGAAATGTTAAAATTATTTACCATTTGCAAATGCAATAATAAATGCAATAATAAATTAAGTGGAAATTTTCAAATATTTTGACAAGAAATCAAGCTGAGTAGTCCTTGTTTCTTGTCCAGGTAGTCTTGTAGTCCTCCATATTGCAGACTACTTCTTTCCTCCCTTCTTACCCTTAGTCTTCTCCTCAGTAGGTTCATCTGCCGCCTGGAGAAAAAGGTTGATTTTAATTTTTTTCAATTTTGTAAAAATATTTCGCAAAAGTCCAAATAAAAATAAAAACGACACAATACTTAAACCATCTACACCCCGACAAAGCAGCCTTTGAGGAAAGGGTTATATACATATAATCCACAGAAGATTGATTTCTTTAATACTCAAAAAACCGTTAATGAAATAAAGTGGCAAATTTCTTTTTATACTTTTTATACCTTTGGTTTCTTGTCTTCAACCTTAGCCTCCTTCTCTCCTCCTTTCTTGGGAGCAGCAGATTTATTGTCCTTTGGCATTTTTATATCAAAGGGATTTAATCTGGAAATGTTAAAATTATTTACCTATCATTTGCAAATGCAATAATAAATGCAATAATAAATTAAGTGGAAATATTGAATATTTTGACAAGAAATCAAGCTGAGTAGTCCTTGTTTCTTGTCCAGGTAGTCTTGTAGTCCTCCATATTGCAGACTACTTCTTTCCTCCCTTCTTACCCTTAGTCTTCTCCTCAGTAGGCTCAGCTGCCGCCTAGAGAAAAAGGTTGATTTTAATATTCTTTTAAAGAAAAATATGGCAAAGGTCCAAAATATTTTGCGTATACAGACAGATTTTCATCAGCAAATTTATAGATGTCCTTCAGGGGCGTCAGCGGGGGAGGGGTACGGAACTGAGTTCTATTTTTAGATAAAATGGCGGCTAGGGTTTATGTAGTTTTTCCGTAGCCTGAAGTTCCTTTATTGAACCAATTTCTGCAAGCGCATCTCTGTTTTTGGCAAAAACTATTCACGCTTTTGTAAAAAGTTTGTAAAATTATAAATCTTTCAGGCTACATAAAGTCTCCAAAGACATGAAAATGTCATAATATACATTTTGTGCGTGCACTAAAAAAATTACAATGGATACATAAAAATTAAGTAAAAAATAACTAAAAATAGTGTACGCACTGCATGAATAAAAAAACTATAATAGAGTAGGTACTGCATGAAAAAAGACTAAAAATAGAGTAGGTACTGCATGAATAAAAAAAAACTATAGATTATAGGCACTGCATGAATAAAAAACTAAAAATAGAGTAGGTACTGCATGGAAAAAAGACTAAAAATAGAGTAGGTACTGCATGAATAAAAAAACTATAAATAGATTATAGGCACTGCATGAATAAAAAACTAAAAATAGAGTAGGTACTGCATGAAAAAAAAGACTAAAAATAGAGTAGGTACTGCATGAATAAAAAAACTAGAGTTAGTACTGCATGAATAAAAGAACTAAAAATAGAGTAGGTACTGCATGAACAAAAAGACGTTTGAATCGAACAGAGAATTTTTTCTATGTTAAACCTTAAATTTTACTAAACCTGTGAACGTTTAGGGATGCTTGCTTTTTTAATGAAGCGCTAATGATGTTTTGTATATCAATCTGATCTTAGTAAAATGTAAGTTAAACAAATGAAATATTTTGATGCCCCATTGGACCATGCATAGAAAGTTCCGATTTTACAAGAACTTTTAAATACAAGATTGAATAATTTATACGTCTAAGGATTTCATAATTACGGAATAACTGAAATGATAAATATGTTATGTAATATCTCCTATTTGTGCATAATTTTGCAAATTAATTTCTTTTTTTTTCTTTTGTAAAACTTTATATTCAAAATATCTAAGCAAAGGAATTGAGTTTTTGTCACAATCTTAAATTTTCTAATTCATATATTTTTGGAGCTTAAAGGTGTAAAACTTTGAATTTTTAAATTTTGATTATTTAATCTCACAGAAATTATAGTTTGAAACATCAAAGGTCTACAACATCAAGTTGGAAAGATAAAGGGATTAGAAAATATGATTTTGTGACAAGGACTCAATTCCTTTAAACTACACCATTTATATATGTATATATATATTTCAATGTGTGTGAATAAATCTTTATAAAATTATATAAATGATGACGCACAAAGTGTGTAAATTACAAAAATATTGCACCGGTCAACTCAGTAAACTTGTGATATTAACTATCTCTAAAATATTCAAGAAAAAACCAAGGTCTAGATTTTGTTAGTAATCTAGAAATTCATTTTTACCTTTGCTTTAGTCTCAGCTCTCTCAGCAGTCTCTTTCGCAACCAGATCCTTCTTAGGGTTCTTGGGAGGTACTCGCTTCTCGATCGGCATTTTGATTAGGTTTGAAACTTTGTCTGAAAAATAACGAAATTTTTAACGATTAATCGGAATAAATAGATATCAGCATGTGCCAATAAATACAATAAAAATTTAAAAACCTATATAAGCGATTTTTCAAGTATAAAGTAACTCTTATAAAAAGGGAAACCTCTATATACTGTGTATACAAGTGTATACACTAATAAGGAGGGAAACCTCTATATACTGCGTATAAAAGTATATACACTAATAAGGAGGGAAACCTCTATATAGCATGTATACAAGTATATACACTAATAAGGAGGAAAACCTCTATAAACTGTGTATACAAGTATATACACTAATAAGGAGGGAAACCTCTATATAGTATGTACACAAGTATATGCACTATTAAGGAGAAAAACCTCTATTTACTGTGTATACAAGTATATACTCTAATAAGGAAGGAAACCTCTATATATTGTGTATACAAGTATATACACTAATAAGGAGGGAAACCTCTATATATCATGTATACAAGTATAAACACTAATAAGGAGGGAAACCTCTATATACTGTGTATACAAGTATATACCCTAATAAGGAGGGACACCTCTATGTACTGTGTATAAAAGTATATACACTAATAAGGAGGGAAACCTCTATATAGCATGTGTACAAGTATATACACTAATAAGGAGGGAAACATCTATATAGTATGTATACAAGTATATACACTAATAAGGAGGGAAACCTCTATATACTGTGTATACAAGTATCTACACTAGTAAGGAGGGAAACCTCTATATACTGGGTATACAAGTATATACACTAATAAGGAGGGAAACCTCTATATACTGGGTATCGAGTATAACACCAATAAGGAGGGAAACCTCCATATACTGTGTATACAAGTATATACACTAATAAGGAGGGAAACCTCTATATAGTATATACACAAGTATATACACAAATAAGGAGAAAAACCTCCATTTACTGTGTATACAAGTATATACACTAATAAGGAGGGAAACCTCTATATATTGTGTATACAAGTATAGACACTAATTAGGAGGGAAACCTCTATATATTGTGTATACAAGTATATACCCTAATAAGGAGGGAAACCTCTATATATCATGTATACAAGTATATACACTAATAAGGAGGGAAACCTCTATATACTGTGTATACAAGTATATACCCTAATAAGGAGGGAAGTAAATACACTAATAAGGAGGGAAACCTCTATATACTGAGTATACAAGTATATACACTAATAAGGAGGGAAACCTCTATATACTGTGTATACAAGCATATACACTAATAAGGAGGGAAACCTCTATATACTGTGTATACAAGTATATACACTAGTAAGGAGGGAAACCTCTATATATACTGTGCATACAAGTATATACACTAATAAGGAGGGAAACCTCTGTATATCATGTATACAAGTATTTACACTAATAAGGAGGGAAACCTCTATATATTGTGTTTACAAGTATATAACACTAATAAGGAGGGAAACCTCTATATACTGTATAAAAGTATATACACTAATAAGAAGGAAAACCTCTATATACTGTATATACAAGTATACACTAATAAGGAGGGAAACCTATATAGTATGTATACAAGTATATACACTAATAAGGAGGGAAACCTCTATATACTGTGTATACAAGTGTATACACTAATAAGGTGAAAAACCTCCATATATTGGGTATACAGATATATACACTAATAAAAAAGAAGGAAAACGGCTACATTACTTATATATTTTAATTTATCTGCATTTTAAGTTGAAGAAAATAATAATAAAAAAGTATTTATTTAAAGACATTTCCGTTTTTAAATTCAAATTTTCCCCATCCAGCATTGCACACTGCACAAGCTGTTTTGTTGATTTTTTTACAATTGTAGTCCTAAAATTTTCTAATGGACCACAACATTTTAAAAGTTATTATTAATGATTTGACCTTAAGTTTTTTATTTCATTGATTTGAAGTTTCAAAAATGTCCTTTTGGCGTTAAGTATAAAAAATCATTGAATATAAGATGAATGTCGATATTGTAGAAGAATGTTTTATTTGACTAGTTTAATTTGTTTGGAAGATTTAATAAATTGACGCTAAAATTTAAAGTTAAATTTTTGCCCTCTCCCCATCCCCCATTTTATTTTGTAGGTGTGTGGTAATGTATTGCTATACTGACAGTACACCGCCTACCCTCCCCAAGAACCGCCTTTATATGAATATCTTTCGGTAAAGCAAAAAAACCCAGCTAATTATGAGAAAAGAAGTTATTGTTAAATTAAGGTGAAAAAGAGATAAGAAACGAATTCATGAATTTCTAGCTCTTAAGAGATTAAATTGCCAATTTATCATATAACTAGCTAAAGTGACCGGCGTTGCCCGTGGATCCTTTTTGATCATAATTTAAAAAAAATTCGAATTTGAGAAGAACATTTTTTTCGAATTTTACTCCGAGTTACCCTGACGTATTACCCTAGGTAAATGGAATTTACTATAGGGTTAACCCTAGTTCCAACTTCTTGGACCTGGGTTTAAGATCGACACTAGAGTAAAATAACCCAGGGTAGAGAAAACTCAGGGTTCTGAGTTTTACCCAGGGATATTAGATTTATTCAGGGTAGAATAGCCCTAACAGAGACCAGAAAATAAATAAAAGATAATTGCATAGTTCAGAAAAGCGAAATAAAATATTTACGATGAAAAATAACAAAATTATATCACTATGAAAAAGAAATGAGTTTCTGTTTCTAAGCAGGGAATTTTTCTTAATGTCCATCTATCATTTCTTTAGCAAAATTGATGTCTGTAACAAGTTTAAATTTTGTTTATTGTAATAAAAATAAGAAAACTGTGATTTAAAATAAAATATTTTTTTATTTTATATTAATATTTCTTTTAGTTTTTAGCAGAATTTTAAAATATTAATTTATATTTTTTTATTTTAAGTAAATAAGCAACGACGACTTTTAAACCCAGCATATAATTTGTTGACGCCATTTTATACACATGCGCAATAAGCAAGTTTTATGTATTTACCCTGGGTAAATACGTAAATTGTTCAAGATAATCGTGCATTATTCTACTCTAGAGTAATTTTGGACTATATACCAAGGGTAAAAACTTCAAGAAACTGGAGGCAATTTCTACCCAGGGTAGCAGTTAACTCTACAGTAAATCTACTCTAGAAATCTTTAGAAATCTTTAAAAAATTGGACTTAAATTCCAATTTTCCCAGGGTAACTCGACTGAGAAATTGCCCTTTTATACGTGGACTAGATGAACGGATATATATTTTATATTTATAATTGATAACCAACGGTAAAGTACTCAACAGGAACTCATGAGCTTTGTTTACAAATAACGTAAAGTAAAGGGGATTGCAAAGTGTACAGCATATAATAGATATAGGAAAAGTTAAAAATCGAAAGAAAAGAGCACAGTGCTGATATGAAACAAAGAAAAGGGAGGGAAAAATATTTTAATGTTTCAGTAATAAGTTTTCATTAAGCGTCAAGTTAGACGTAATTCGAAATTGACCCTGCAAAAAATACAAGGCATTGCACAATAGTAATCGTTCTAATCTATAAGTTAAAACAAATACTAAAAAAAGAATAAAAATATTCCATGATTTTTTGTCCTGTCCAATGTCCATTTCCGACGATGTATTGTGGTGTACTGCACTCAGATCTGAATGTAAAATCCTCCAGGTCTTCCCTTTTCTCCCCCTTACTCGCTTAAATCCGACTTTATCCAGTTTCAAAACATGATTGATTGATTAAAATGAAGACGATTTTGAACAGTTTCTTGGAATGTTATTCAGAATAATTCAAAACAGTATTATTGTATTATGGTTAAATAATTTATTCTGAAGTGTAAAAAATGATGTCCGCAAGAAAAACAGATGTCTTCAATTAACTGTGTTTAATGATTTAACAAATATTTATTGCCACAGTATGACCTAGCTCGACGAACATCTCAGAGAAAAATATAAAAATCGATTCAGAGAATAACTCTTAAACTCTTAATTGTTTTATCATTTAAAAATGGTATAGCTTTATAAACAAAATTTTCGTTTTTAGCGTCAATTATAGACTGTATTAAAAAAGTTACCAATACCATTATGGATTTGACAAAATCTAGCGTCCCTAACTGTTTTTCAGAAAGTTTGGAATTATGACAGATTTGCGGCATTTTAGAAGACTTCGCGCTCGTTGACCTACAAGCCGAACTAAAACCGATCGTTTTATCACTAAAGATCTCCTTTTTAACTCGGTAGATGTTGTGATTTTCCTTTTTTCATTACAATTATTATTTTTCAATTTGAATGTTTTAGAACTTTTATGCTTTTAATTAATTCTATTTTGCAATTTTGCGGCATATGTAATTCAAATTGGCCAATTTCTAAATCCTTCTACCCTCAATAAGTGGAATCAAAAATATAAAAGGATTTCTTTAATATTAAAACCCTTCACCGTTTATAAAACAATATCAGGATTTCCTATTTCGAACAAATCCTGAATTTGAACAATTGTCGCGTTTTCAAGTCTTAACCCGTTTTTGAGTATAATCCTCAATTCAATTAAAAAAAAAACTCGCTTTTATAACGTACAAAATTAATCACTGGAAGTAAAAATTATCTTATGATGACCAAGCTAATTGCTAAGTTATTTTTTAAATTTTAATTTCCTTATATTCGTTAAATATAAGAGAATAAAGTCGATTTAATTTCTCGAATTCTAAATTAACAATTTCCAGGATTTCTAGTTATATATTTATTGAATGAACAAAATGATATTAAAATTTGGATTTCTCGATGATTTACTGATTTTGAAATTGTATAAGAACGTTATTTTTTTATTCTATTTTGTTCATATTTTACCTTTTCAAAAAGTCTTGTTTTGTTGCGTAAATGAGTAAATTCTTGAGAATTGATATTGATATGAATTCGAGTAATTGTATCAAAATAGGATATATTCCGAAAACGCGACATGAGCTGAAATGCGGTAATTGTTTTATAATAGGGATATGTTCGAAAATGAAAACCAATCTCATCAAAAACTGCTTATCATACCTTATTATTAGTTAAAAGGGTAATTTCCTAGAGAACGATTTTCGGACCCCCCCGCCCCCCCCCCCTCCTATTTTGTACATGGATCTTGTATGTTAGACATGGATATAATTGACCATGTGGCCGCAGCGCTCGACCCCCTAGCCTGTCCTAGCCGCAGAGCTCGGCCTAGAAAGTGCCTTAACTAATCTAACCCGTAGCCGCAGCGCTCGGCCCCCCTAGCCTGTCCTAGCCGCAGAGCTCGGCCTAGAAAGTGCCTTAACTAATCTAACCCGTAGCCGCAGCGCTCGGCCCCCCTAGCCTGTCCTAGCCGCAGTTCTCGGCTCAGAAAGTGTCTTAACCTAACCTAACCCTAAATAATACTAAATAAATACTAATTTGGTCATGTACAAAATTGATAGGAGGGGGAGGGGGTCCAAAAATCGTTCACTAGGACGGACCCGTTTATAGTTGACATTTCCTGTTTCAATAATTAGTTTTAGCCATTTTTATTAACTGTATGGTGTAGTTTTGTTCAACTCGGCTTGGATTTAAAGATATATACTCTTGAAAAAGAAAAATTTGCAGATTTGGCCCATTTCTAACACCAAATGGGCCAAATGTTAGTTTTGGAACTATTAAGGTTAACAATTAAGTTTAATTTTTCCATATTTTTAAATATTTAGAATCCTTTACTCAAGGGCCTCAACTCCGCGTGTGAATTTTCCACTCTCCAGTCCATGGTATTAGTAAATTCTTCCGTTGGTATTTATTTTTAAACCATAAAAACAAGCATAATGTCAATTAAGATTAAATGAAGAAATTGACTGAAAACTGCTACAGATTTCCCGAAAACTGTCTGTTTCTCTTAAATTTGAAATAAGATCAAGTTTCATTGTCCCTGCCGTCAAGGTCTTGATTTTTTAAAGATTCTAAAACCCAGGATTTTTTTATTTTCAGATTTTTCAAAATTTGAACTGAATGTAATTGCTGGAAGAATATCCAGGAGTTTGTAAAGAATGGCGGACACGTTGACCCTGAAGGAGGTGGAGTTGGACTACGAGGCAGATGAAGGTATAACACCCCCTCCGCCCCTTCCCCTCACTTAGAATTGCTAGGGAGGAGTTGTAACTTTTTAATGTTTGGATTTCAACCAGAACAGCATTTTAAGTATTTTTCAGCTTCAAAAGTGGAAAAATAATTTGAGTGTTTAAGAGAGGGAATGATTTTTCCAGTTACGCTATACCCCTTAGAAAAGGGAAGATATAAGTTCAACAGACATTGAATTAGTAGTTTTCATATAATATTTTATTTCTTTTACACTTCTATTATTATGAATCAAGGTAGTTAAGTAATCTCTCAACTAAATCTAGGAGACGATGGAAGGGTTGAGACTCCGTCCTCTCCTCGCCTTGACTCCAAGAACGAGGACGAAGGTTCCTCACCGAGGACGGATGGTGAGCTGCCCAGCTCTCCGGCCAAGGAGGAGGACGAACTCGAGTCCGGAGAAGAGTTGGAAGACGGGGAAATTAGTGATGAAGATGAGACCTTAAGAAATGAAAGAAATGAACCTAAACCTGTGTGTAGGTTTTACAGTAAAGGACAGTGTACTTGGGGCGCAAGTTGCAGGTATGTGTCACGTGGAGTGAACTTTAACTTCAACTTGGATCTAACCGGTTAGCTTACTATTTTTTTCTTAGATAAAATCTTTCTTTAAACTGAGTTGTAATTGTCATTGTTTCTGCTGTCTTACATTGAATTAGTCTTACTCAATAAATTCATTGTGCTGGAACATTTGTTACGATTATATTTTGTTAAATCAAGGTTTCTTCACCCTGGAGTGCTAGATAAGGGGAACTACAGCATGTTTGCAACCCCTCGACCTATTCTGCCCGGAGAACCAGACAAAGAACCAGTTGAAGCGGTAAAAGACACTTTTTTTCCCAAAATCACTGCTTAGGATCTATTTCATTTTTATGGGGATCCGGACCCACTGGTCCTAAATATTTTTTCAAGATTTAGTAATGATTCTGAACAAATATAAAAGTGTTCGCTCAAACTGAAACTTGATAAACCATACAGAGATTAGAAAGTTTTTAATAATCTGTCATAAGTTAACACTTGAAATTTGCGTTTTGAGATAAAATATTTGCTGTCAGGTTTTGGTTGATATTTTGATACTTGGAACTGGATCCGGATCCTAAGCAGTAAAACTGTTAGAAATAATTAAGAAGTGTACTAACATCACTGTTAAAATGTTAAGGACCCAGTAGTAGAACCTGTACTGATGAGACCTCCACCCCCTGCCTACGAGACTGCTTGGGAGCGAGGTCTCCGCCAGGCGAAGGAAATGAGACGGCGGAGTCACAAAAGACGCGAGATGGATGTAGAGTATGAAGAGAAGAAATCCAGTCTTAGTCTAACACAGGTCAGTGTTGAAACATTATTACTTTCACAGAATTCATAAAAAAAATCAAATGATTATTTAAAAAAGAGGAAAATGATGTAAACGGATTATACTAGCTTGGTAACCCAGCGTTGCCCAAGTTACTTATAGTTATTCCCGCCGTTTACCCGCACTTAGTCTTAAATTACGAGTTTACGAGAACCCTCGGCAACGCTGGGTCTCAAGCTAGTATATAGAATATAGATAAAGGAAGTAAAAGCATGAAAATAAGAATGAAATCATGGGGTTAACTTTTTTCTAAGATTTAAACTTGATTTGATTTAAATGCGCTGAAGTTTTCTGATCCCGGTTACAAGGAAAATCCTTTTTTTCTCTTTTTTAATTTTTTTTTTATTTCCAGATTGAGTTGGATAAAGAAAATGATTACTACACTCGTCCAGCTAGTCCGGCCCATACACACGATCCATACGCTGAGGATGAGTTTGGTGAACCCTACGATGGTTTTCAACCAGAATCTCGTCGTATCGCTCCACCCCCACCTGCTGATTTCGTCGCTCGTGGCGAGCGGGCCGCTAGCAGACGGTATAGTGAATCTCCGCCTCCTAGGGTGCGGCGGATAGCTCCGCCTCGAGATCCTAGTCCTAAGGAGGATCCGCGGCAGAGGTTTAAAGGCGGTGAGGATTGGGCGGATCCATGGATGAGATCTAAGGATGATAAATTGAGAGGTAAGGGCTATTTTTTTTTATAAAATCTGAATTTACTTGAGGGGGGGGGGGAGCTTCATCAGAATTTTTTCCCCCAGTGAGTTTTTACTTCTTCTTTTTTGGTTATTTTGGTTAATTAATTTCTAGATCCCAGTTATGGGTATATTGAGAATATCAGCATAGAGTCTATAGATTCGCTGATTCTCCAGCATATCGTTTGTAACTTTTTTAAAACGATTTAGCAGGGGCGGATATTAGGATTCTGTGGGGAGGGGGGTAACAAATTTTAATTTGGCGCGCGAAGCGTGCCGGAATTTTTTTACCCCCCTAGAAAAATATCATGATGTATATCAAATTTTTGGTTTTAATTGGGTTTGATTTGTATTTTCCACTCATTTCTGGGATTTACAAACTCAATCTAATAAAGGCTTCATTACATACCTTTCAGCTTTCACCTTGTTTTATACCCTTCATTATAGTCATTCATTTTACATTAACTACAAAGATCTGTAAAAAA